TTGTTTAGATTGGCCTGCACAAAGTCTTGATCGCAACCCGATTGAAAATTCCTGCAACAATTTTTAAAAAAAATTATAACACGAAATTCGACACCTCAACCCGTTGATGAGTTATGGAATGCAGTTAACGAGGAATGGTCAAAAATAAGTCCTCAAATCTAAGGTAACTTAAGAAATAGCGCTATATGCCCGTTAAATCACACACATCTCTAAGACATAACAGTGCCCCATAGCAAATGTTATTTGTTCGCATACTGGCCTTACCTTCTTCCGAGCTTTTTCGGGTAATCTGAAGTACAAGGTTTTCCAGTAAGAGGTGTTTCTTTTAATATTCAAAGAAAAATGACACTTTTTGTGAATAATGATCGGTTGTTTACTTCAATTTAAAGCGGAAGATATGCCTTTTTTTTAATAAATTTCCCAACACCAAATCGTAAAATAGATGCTGTATGCCGTCAAAAGCTTCACGAATCCCACATTTTAGGTCTTTTATCGACGTTGACCTGTTGGCTCCAAATGAAGAAGTTGCAAGATGTTAAACCAAAAGATCTTGGTTGCCAATTTTTCCCTAAACGTGGCACCCTTGTTGAAAATAAACGTTGTCCAGCTCAATACCATACCCCTCCGGCCATAAAAAATCTTTATTCATCTCTTGATAGCGCAATCCATTCACTGTAACATGTGCTCTAGCCTTATTTTCGAAAAAGTGGGGCCTAATGGCCCAATGAAAATGACAAGGATTTAGCGGTTTTTTCAAAAATGAATCTTCTGTTTTCTGAGTCCCAGATGCGACAGTTTTGCTTATTGACGTAGTCATCAAAGTGGAAATGGGGGGCCTCATCAGCCAAGATGATTTTTCGAGGAATTCGCGGATCATTTCTATGCATTTCAAAGACCCAATCAGCAGAGACACGACGTTGTTGATGATCGGGCAGCTGGAGTTTTTGTGTTAACTGAATTTTATAAACCTTAACACCCAGGTCTTTCTGTAAACTACGATGTAATGACGTTTGTGGAAAACATAATTCCAAACAACAACGAGAAATACACAAACTTTGGCTACTGCAGCAAATGTTTTAGTTTGACAAACCATCTCTGCCAGGATTGCACAATTTTTATGGTGAATTTTAATAATTTCAATACGTGTGTAATGCTAGTGTAGTTTTTCCTTAACAGAATTAGGGGTTTAAAAGTGACATCTACCGGAATAGCAGGCTACTCAAAATATCACCTCTCATTGGAAAAGCCCTTATATTTTATTTTTTCAATCATGATACACAAAAGAACTTCATTGTTAACTCGTGATTACGCAAATGATAAATGCTTAATCTTTTTTATAAAGAGATAAAAGATTTCGGGCAGACTCCGTAGGTGGCAGAGTTAGAAAATCAGTCTGTCGGCTGAAATGATTTTTAGCAAGTTAATGCTTCACTACCAGCTAAGCTATAAAGAGATTCTGATGGTGCACTAATTTAAACGTTTTTATTCTACTTGTATGAGGAATTGAGACTGAGGCTGAGTGTGGCGAGAACTATTAGAATCGATTTTCCACTGTGAATGGACGATCGATCGAATTTACATTTGGTGGTTGTTGTACCGGCGAGGTCATATAAGAGGAAATCCAGGCCGTAATTTTGCCAACATTACTCAGATCTCACAGACTCTCTTTGAATGGTGTTTAGAGCGTGTTAGTAAGGCGTCCTGCCAGCGGTCTGGTTCTTCTGTTTAAATGGTGGTTCAGCTTCCAGAAATTACATCCCATCAAAAGTTGCGTTAAAAATCAAATACAACACAGCCGTGGCCCGGTTGCCTGGACATAGAGACAACCCAGGCAACTATATGGCGGATGAGCTAGCTAGAGGAGGCACCACTTTAACTACCATAAATTCCATAAGATCAGGCTATGGCTGGCTTTCACTAAAACAGCCGAAACCAGATGGCTTAGCAAAGAACCTGCAACGTGACTAGGCAGCTTTGGCCAGTGTTGAAGGCCCAAAGATCAAGGGATCTAATCCTGATTCACAACGATCATACTAACTGGGACTTCAGTAGTAGTAAAAATGTCGTAACTATAGAGCTAGAGTCCATTGAGCACTACCACTGTCACTGTACAGCCCTAATCCTTATACGACACAAACACCTGGAACATCACTTTTTTGACAGTCTGGCTGATGTAACAATCGCTGGCATAAGCAGTATAGCATAGTTCATTAGGCACATGAAATGAATCGTGCATCTGAGAAGATAAGAAGTACACCACAGGCGTTTTACAATGGGCCGTCAGACCTAAGTGCGCTGATCACTCATATTCAGTAACTGCATCTACTCAACTCAGCGAATAACCAGGAGCATATATATTTCACAGTGTTGTGTAAGTAGTACAGTACTTAGGACGATGTTTTGACAGGCTTTTTGCTTCTTCGTCTGGGTCTCGCTAGTTTCCGGTGCGGCGTGGTTAATGACTTTCCAACCATTTGACTTGTGAGTTGTAAAAAAGTTTCTTTGCCTCCCAGTAATTTGCGGTTGCTCACGTCGGAATTTGGATGCCGTCGTCAATTGGAGCAGGCAAATCTGCTTATTATGAACTAAAAATATTGTATTTTTTTTTTTAATTGACGCCACTAAAACATAAAAATAAAAGGCAAAAGCCGATAATAAAGAACCGAATGAAGAAATGCAATTTTGAGGGAATTTATTTGGTTTTACAGATTTTTGTATACAATATATAACGGAAGTTTCTGCAAATAAAAAGCGGAATTAAACTTTTTTATGCAGTTATAACACAAAACCTGATAAGACATATACACTCACCAGACCATAAGGAGTTAATTTTGCGGGTTTTTTCCTTATTTAATTTAAATTAATTTTCATATATTAATGGTATGATGTATGACGTCCATCCGCTTGTCATTTTTAGTCAAAATGCAACATGTGTACATATATATGTATGTTTCTGTACTGTATGTACATAAGTATTGTATGCAAAAAGGCAATGCAGTCAAAACCACGAAAAACGTTTATGAAATTCTAATCCCTAATGGGTGTGCCGATTTAGACTTTATTTATTTGTAAATCTTTTGTATAGTTTTACATACATAACGTGGTATGAAAATTGTATTCTTACGAAAAGGAAATTTATTTATTTTTTTTTTTTTGCTCGCTTGAGATTTACTATTGTATACATTTGCATTGTATAAATTTAGAAAATCAAGATATCAGAATTGCAAATAAATTGATTAAGTTAAGCCAGGACTTTGCTGACGACACAATTTTAGTTTTATTTAACCATGGACTGAATAAGAATTTAAATTTAATTTTTTTCTATCCCATAGGCATAGCCGTTACCAGTTCATGATATATTATCATTAGCATTTCATGGAGTGTTAAGTACAAATACATATGTATGGACTTATGTTATTCGAGTAAACCACAAAAGAGTGGGCATTCAGAGGTTTAACGAGCTTAAGATTTTATATGACCATGGCAGGGACAAAAAACTGGCCGAACTCTGATGAGAAAGCCTATTACTGAAAATATATACATAAATAAATGTACATATCTATATACACGTATAATTGGCGCTTCGAAGCCGCTGAAGCAATTTTCGGCTGAGCTTCTGCTCCAATTTGTAAATAGCGTTTTCATCTTTTTCCAACAAATGGAGAAACTTACAGTTTATTCTAAGCCGCTTTCGAATGACTTCAGTATTTTTACTGAAGAAAACTCGAATATTTACATCTTAAGAATAATACACTGATCTACTACAGTCAATATTATAGTGTTAAAAGCAATTTTGGGAGCTCTAACTTAAATAATTATGAACGATCAATAATTTAAGGGAACTTTGGACCAGCGGCTATTCTTGTCAACCTCCGCAAAAAAATCTCTTCACAAGATTAAAAATATTACAGTAGAGAAAACTCGAAGTTTACTTATGTATAGATCTCGAAATATGTTATCAACAAAAGAGCTTTTATTGTTTTTTCATTGTTAATACGTCTTACTTTGTGTATACCCTTTGTTTCTAGGCAAAAAGATAAGAATTGAAAAAATTATTCTTTCATCGTTCGCTAATACAAACATTTTCTACAAATTGACTTTAAAGTTAACAAGCGATCAGATATAACTGGCATTTGATATTCACATCGGGGCAATGGATTTATTACATGTTACCTTAAGTCATGTAAATAGACAATTTATATTATATGTATTATAAAAAGTATGCACTTTTTTTGTCTGACAGTTTTTCTGAAAGTAAATCAGTTAAAAATAAAATTTGGACCATTTGCGTATTTTATTGGTATTTAATTCATAAAAAATACTGGTTCAACTTTTGTAACAATTTGTTTAACAGTTGTTAAAAACTACTGTTTATAAGTTAAAATTAAAAAAAAGAAAAATTCAACAAAATGTATATATGTACAAAGAAATTTCTAGATTTTCGGAACAGCAATCAAACGAATTTTTACTGTTTTGTTAAGAAAGGTGATGCGTTTAAATTTCTTGTTTAACTTTACGGACCGATACATGTATGTATATGCATATCTATGTACGCACTACATACATATACATATGTATATTTATATACCTACTTAAATGCATTTTTTTCGCCAGCAGATAAAATCAAAACAATTTGGAGAATCTGTTTTTCGAATCATTAAAACCTGTTTTCAAAACAAAATTTTACACGGACTATTAAGCACTATAATATAAACGTGAAAGTTATATACTGCATCAGCTCATATTACTTACGTATGTACATATAAATGTACAAATAACATAGGCATTAAGTTATTTTTTTTATTTATAACAATTTTGTAATTATATTACAATGTGTTTAATGTTCAATAATTCGTCTTCTTTTCATCTAAAATAATATTAAATATAGCTCTATGCATACAAAATAAATAAAATATAAATTTAAAAAAAGTTACATATATATATACATATGAATGCGTTATTTAATTACAAATGACATATGTGAGTCTAAATGTACGCACCTGAGAGCTAGCAGCGAAAAGATTTGTTAACACAGCAAAAAATATAAGGTGATGAAACCTTCCAATATTATAGATGTGTTGTTGTTGATTCCTGTGTTTTGTTTGCGACATCGTTGTTATCTTAACACCGTTCATATTTTTATTTTTTAGTGCGGAGTAGAAACCGCCGGTTTTCCACACGGCAGCAAAACTCCGTCTTAATATAATAATTGAATCAATATATATTTAACTGCTTTTTTTTTGGATAATACGGAGGTCAGCACAATGTACGACGTAAAGCATACAAATTGTATTAACTATATATGCTTGCTCATATGTTATATACATATATAGGCATGTATGTATCAAAAATCTCTGTTTATACACTCTCGACAGCGCCCTGTTGTTAACACACAAACAATATATTAGTATACAAAGCTTAATTTAATATAATCTATATACAAATGAATTGTTCATCCACAATCTTAAAATATATAAGATCTAATTTTTTAATTAGCTTCAGTCGTAAAAAAACGTTTTGGTTTCAAATAAGAATGATTACTTTGCTGTCCATGAAAATTCCAGTGAAGAAAAATTACTTGTACAAATCGATATTTAGCGATCCATTAGTTTTTAATTTGCGTAGCACTTATTAAACAACCTAGCACTCAACTTTGTGTCATTTGGAAGTATTACCGAAAATGATTTTTATTTTGTTACACTTTTAAATTTTTTTCAATACCATTTTGCAATATAATTGGGAAATAAAATTATAAATATTACCGACTCAGCGATTACGAACCAAAGAGCAGCTATCAACCGAAACGTTTGCTTTTATCATCAGAAAACAACTATTGTGAACGAAGGAAAATAATGAAATGTCAATAGAAATGTTGCCAGATAGATTTACTATTTTCCAATTTACATTGTGAATGACGCTGTTATTCGGATTTCGTTTAAAAAGGCTACAGTTTGAAGCATTTCAAATATGTCACAAATCGTGCTAACTCAAAATATATGCAGCTGTTAATAAAAAATTATTCAAAAATAGGAGGTGACTCGTTTCCTCATAACCGTTCGTATTCATTTAAAATGGACGCTTTGTAACCGCCTGCGAACGGCTGATGGATTTTTATTTTTTTTTTTTGTTATTTCATGTCAGAAATACTATCGGAGGGCTTGACATTCCCTACCGAAGGTCGACGGCAATTAAAAAAATTAATTTTCAATAATTTTGAATGTTGGTCGGACCTGGGGAATGGCTGGATTAAGACCATAATAACATGTTTAAAAATCATAATTGGTAGGACATTTTACTATTATTTTTTTGTTGTAAAATTACACAAAATAAGAAAATACAATTAAAAAATCCAGATCTCATTTTTTTAATTGCTATATTTAATAAATTAATAGTGCCAAAAAATTGCAAATCTTATTAAAAAACTTTAAAAAGAAAAGAATGATATGTTTCTAATGTAAATGCCAAACAAACCACTGTTTTACGACTTGCTAGCTGATTTTAAAAAATACTGGTTCAACTTTTGTAACAATTTGTTTAACAGTTGTTAAAAAGTACTGTTTATAAGTTAAAAACTAATTTTCAATAATTTTGAATGTTGGTCGGACCTGGGGAATGGCTGGATTAAGACCATATTTTATTTTTGTTGTTGTAAAATTACACAAAATAAGAAAATACAATTAAAAAAGCCAGATCTCATTTTTTAATTGCTATATTTAATAAATTATTAGTGACAAAAAATTACAAATCTTATTAAAAACATTAAAAAGGAAAGAATGAACTGTTTCTAATGTAAATGCCAAACAAACCACTGATTTACGACTTGCTAGCTGATTTTTACTTAACCTTGTTAGTTAAAAACTCAATGAATTTCTCTATACATCAAATACTTTTCTTAACGAAAGAACTTCTAAACTGTTATATAAAAATTGGCAATACGTTGATATTAGGATCCTGAATATTCGACATTCTTTGTTATGACGTCAACGAGGAGGTGTGGAGTAAACGATTATTATTGAAATTTCCACATTTCCCCTCCTTTTGTTTTGATCTCAACAGAAAACAGCATTGAAGCCAAGTCCATTGGCATTTAAAATTTCCGACGTGGAAAAGTGTTTTTAAATCAAAAAAGATATGTAATGATAATATGGTGCTTTGCAGTCGGCAAAGCGATTTTCGCCCGTTCTCCTACTCCAACTTTTCGTGTGCGTACTGATATTTTTTCAACAAATGAAAGAACCTTGGCTGAAGGATTTTTATGAGAAAATTTTTTTTATTGATGCCAAAAATTAAGACCGAGGTAAAAGTTAATCCTTTTTTTATAAATTTTTTCTTATTTTTTTGGTTTGTGGAGTCTGGGTTCGAACTGAATAATATGTCAGAGATAATAAAACAGACATACATATGTACTATTCCGTTCCACAGAATACTTTAATTTATCCATTTGAACTATTTCAACTAGGAATAACTCTCAATATCTTTGATTTAATTGAATCGTGGTGTAACCCCGCTTTTAATAATTCCAACAGTAGGAATCTCAAAAGAATCAACGTAAGTCCCTTCCGTGAAAAAAAGTTGTGACTTTGGTTCCTATAATATAAAAACTATATCACAGCCGATCATAGCAGATTTTCTGCAGAAATACCATTTTGTTTCAGTATACGTTCAAATTCTGAACGGACCAAATTCGATCAAACTTGCCCCCCTACATAATTTCGACCTAAAATTGCTAACTAGCAACACAACCAAGTACCACGTCATCGTTGTGGATCCACTTTTCGTATCCCTCCACGAAATAAGTATGGATTACATTAATCAATCTAACTTGACCACATTTTCTGCAGATTTTAAATTTGTAGCAGTAATTCAGTTCACGCTTCAATTAAAGTAAGATTCATTTATTTCCTGTTCATGGGGATGTACGCGGACCATAAACGAAGTTTACATTTATATCATACTTACCTGCATAGAATCCCAGTTAACGGTCATTAACGTGAGTTTCCGTTTTGTCGCTCTTTAATCATTTTAAAACTGAGTCGTAAATATATAGATAACTCTTATCTTCTCGCATTAGGTTGACGCTCTTTCATTCATCGCATTGGTGAGAACCGCCAATACCTGGCTGCGTGGCCAACTCAGTATTTGCTGTGTTTGGTGTTAAAAGCAGCGTATAGGCGGAAATATTAGTTCCAACGCTTGTTTAGTATTGCCACAGCGTCGAGGCGAGAATACCATATGGGTTTCAAAGCGCGCAAAGAGCAAAATAATTGAAAATAATATAACAAAAAACAATGTAGTTAGTTGTGTGAGAAAGCCGTAATCACGTTTGAGCCAGGTATTAGTCATCCAGTGAAAAAGACAATACGTAGTGTACGTAGAACGTAAAATACATATAATAAATATCCATACTCGTTCATGCAAATAATGAAGCGTTCATTTTCTTTGTGGTCGATTATAAAACGTGTAAATAAAATATAATATTCCATGTGTAACCATATAACAGATGTTTCAATCTAAATATATAATCTAGGCTTAAAGAATTATTATAAAACGCAGACGCAAACGTTACGCAAAGAAACAAAGCTGTTTGTTATAGAAACCTGTTGCGTGAAATCGCGTATTGATATCATTGCTCATAAGTTTTCAATTTTTTTATATTTTTAATTTTTTTTTTTTTGGTAATTATGGTATGTGCTAATGAAAATATCTAATAACATTACTTGCACATAAATAACATACATAGTTCTACCCTTCTGCCATAATATGGTATGTATTAGTAAAAACCCCTTTGATTGATCGGCACCATGAATGATAAAAAAAAAATTGTGTATTAATGAGGTGAAGCTCGTTTTTTATCTATTTTTTTAGTGAATGTGTATCAAATACTGCGTGCCATCAATAGGAGCGCTTGTTTCGCATATGTATGTATGTATGTATTGTAGTACATTCATATATGTACCTCATTACATTAGACAATATTTTGCTGTTGTCAGCACGACGCCTCAAACATACAAAAGTAATAAAGTGAATAATAGTGATTTAGATTTTATGCTGCTTGAAGCTTCAACCATAAATCTATAATATTGAAAACTAGTTTAACAAATTGTGCATATACATGTATGCATATGTGTACACATACATCAGAATATTTGTGCTTCGTGAATTGCATGATTCAAATTATTAATGCAAAAATGATATCGGCAAGCGTCACTTCCTCAAATGTACAGATTCATTAGAAGCACTTGTATATGTGTATCAGTATTTACATACATATGTGTCTTAAAATAAAGAGTAGCATATATTTTTTATATAAATATAATATATATTATAATTCATATTAATATATTTCAAATTAGTTTAATTGAAATTTGAAATTAATTATAGGAAAACTTTAGTATCGAGCCTCTGGTTTATCTTTAGGAAGTAGTCAGGAATGGTAGTAGGGGATAACCAATTACCAAAAATATAAATTTTATCGCGCGCAAATTTATAGTTTAAAAGTTAACAACATTTAAAGTTACACTTTTTATATACAGCTTGTATTTTACTTATAAAAACACTAACAACATTTTGCTCGGCAGGTGTTGCCATTTCAAATAATCTACAAATTAACAATAAATTTGCAGAAAAATAAAATAAGAAAACGAATGTTGACACTCGAATAAAAAAAAATAACTCAGACCAACACCGGCTTCACCTTACGCAGTATTCTTAAGTGAAATTTCTTTATAAGTTAGCGAGCTTCGGCCACGTTTTAACAGTATTTTTAAATGAAACTTCTTTATAAATTGGCGCCATGCGGCCGCGTTTGGGATTGTAACCCTGGGCAAGACCAACACCAGCTTTCAAATTAATGGTATTTCATTCATTTTTAAATTAAATATTAATTATCATATTAGAAAAATTGTTTGGAGGGGTCTATATGGTATAGGCCGCCGATTTTCATGACTTTCAATGACAATGTGTACTTATATGTGTATACGTCTGTAGAATACAAAATCTAACGCTTACAAATCCTTTTTTGACGAAGTTATGACCCAAAACCTCGCACTGCTCGAAACCCGGGTATCTAAAGCTCTACTAGAAATATACAATAATTATATTCATAACCTTTGGAGTAAAATATTTTTGAATATAAAATTGCATATATAAATACTATATATAATAATATCTTTCAATTAAATATGTAAACATTTTGTTCAAAGTCCTTTCAAGTAAACTAGTACATTTATTATACATAAATGAATAATTATATATTGTAAAAATTTAATAACATTTTTTTATCAAAAAACGTGTTATTAAATTTAAATAAAAACAGTAACTTTTGTCTCTTAAGCTTTAACAAGTAAACTCTAGTTTACTTTTTTTTACATACATATGTACATACTTTTGTGTGTTATTTTATTTTTCATTGAACATTTGAATTCGAAACTTTTTTTTATCTATCATTGTGTCACATTGTGTCATTCCTTTTTTCACTGCTTGGCGCCATATAACCGCTAAAGCGAGCTCCTTCTTCTATTTGTTTTACATTTTAACCTAAGCCACCTCGGAACGGCTAATGAAGTTTTATGAACAGCTTTTTGTCATGCCAAAAAACATCATCAGAGGGCTTGACATTCCTTACCGAAGCGGCGAGCATAATCAGCAGAAAAATTAATTTCTGATTTAGGTCGAACTCTGGCCTTCCGAAAGGTAGTAAGCGAGGGTAAGCACTCTGCTATTAATCAAGAGAGCCACTTTTAATTGGTACTAAAGACCTACGAAAAACTAATAACATAGGGACCATATAAAAGACCATATATTTTTAATCGATCCGTGGACTTCATATGATCTGCAGCCAAGTATGTAATACTCGGTTCCAACCGAACATAGTCCTGATTACTTATTTTTCACCGTTTAATTTAGTAATCAGCTTAAGACTCTTCATAATATTATATAATATTATAAAACAAATTTTGAAACTGCATTTCTATACTTCTCATGTCTTCATACTTCACTTCGTTTATAAGTATGTAAGTACCAGAAAGAGTAGAGATAGACATATCAAAATGTATGCCGTTTGGATCCGAAATACGAGTTGAGTTGATTTAGCTACGTCCGTCAGTCCGTTTGATTGTACGCAAACTATGAGCTCAGTTTTTGAAATATTTCAACTAAACTTGGTACACAGATAACCGGCGAAATCGGACTACTATAGCATATGCGAGTATACGACCTATTTTTTACAGGCTTATTCTGTCGAGGTAACAAAATTCACTTTGGTATTAAAATTTTCCATTCAGTAAATTTTGTTACTATTTCGTATTCTGAGTTCACTGTCACCCTTTAAATTTTGTTCCCAGGGAAATAGGAGATAACAAAAAAATCTGTTGTTTAATTTTGCGTTGTTAGTTTGAGAAAAAGCCAAAATGGGAAGGCATATTTTAGTCCTGGAATTCATTGAAGATGAAGAACAATGTGTAAAATGGTATATGCCAAAAAGTTTGCGAGAAAAAAGGCCTTTTTAATTTGGAAGATAGCGTTTTTATTCAGCTTTTTTTTTTGCCGTTTAGGCATTTCGATGTGACTATTATTCTTTTTACTATAGCACTTGGCGTATGTAATTTGACAAGGACGAGAAAATCAGTGATGCCAAAGTTTTTTCAAACATTGTAACCAGTTCGCCAGAATACCAAATTCAATTTCGGGTGTTAAAAAAAGTAACAAAATTTACTTTACCGGTAACAGTGAGAATACGCCTCTTAGGGTAATTAATTTGTAAAAAAAAGTCTAAGAGCGTAAAATTTGTAATACTGCACACATATGACGAATTACACATTGATGCTGAAAATTATCGAAATTTTGGCGACTGACTATAGCTAACTTTCACCGTTTATTTCAATATGAGGCGTTGGTCAAAACTTCGTCGAATAAACATTACTTACTTATTTTACTGAGGTGGACACCGCTCACGCGATAAAAGCCAAATTTATAACATTACGCCATTCATTCCTTCTTTCACTGCTTGGCGCCAAATAAACATTATCACAAAAAAAGTGTCTAAGAACATTAATTTTGGTATTCTGCCACCTATATCACATTGAAAATCATCGAAATGAGATAGGAGTATTAATATTTAATCTTAAAATCAAATACCATAAATTTGATATGGTTGAGGTAAAGCTCTTCTTTCTTTAAAACTCTATCTATTTTTACGCTACAATGCAGGGGGCTCTCGCATATGCGGCCGGCCTTATCAAGCTTCTTCACTATGTAGCATACATAACATATAATATGTTACATACATATATACTTATGTATATGTTTTTATATATATTACATATCAATTTGATTTAATCTGTCAAGATGATACATATATTTATTTTTTCATTGTATATTTAGATGGGTCACGCAATCTTTTGAATCATATTTTTTTTTTGCAACGTTGCAATGCATAGAACTTCGTCAACTTTATCACTGTTTGGCTTATGATCAGCCAAATTTTTAACAAAATTTATAATTTGATCATAATGAAGCACGTATCTTATAAGCAACAAACGTGATTTATATATACATACATATGTACATATATAACAGCTGTTAAATATTTCGGCTTGATAAATCATTTTCAATGACTCACCTAGAGAAATACCGTCATATTTCATAATATTTACACTTTCAGCAGAGCCAAGATACCAAAAGTTTACGCATCCAGTAATTTCCAAATGCTTTCCTAGTATTTGAGAAAATAGTATATCCAAATTAAGTGCACGGTTGCCTTACTTTGCGCTAATGTAGTCACATGTACAAGAAGTGCTCGCAGGGAGATAGTAGATATATCTATACTTATTACATATATTTATGTATCTATGTATATACATATATGTATATATATATTCAATATATATGCACATACATACATATACATATGTATATATATATATATTCGGCGCTTTATAGCCACTGAAGATATTTTCGGCCGAATAGGTACACATGACTTTAAAAAAAAATCGAAAAGAATTTTTTTCAGATAATTTCTATAGACACAATTGTCTTTGAACAATGTTTATATAAAAACCATGATAAAAAACTAAGATAGTTTCACTCAAACTTTTTTTTGCAAATATTTACCATCTGACATAAAAAGATGATTCGACTTTTCTTTTATTTTTGTGCTACCAATTTCACATTTAAAGAATAAATCTTTAACTTTCTCAATTTAAAAAAAAATGTTACAAGAAATGTAAAAGCTTTCTAAATAAACCAAAAAAAAAAAATAAAGAAAAATAAAAAGTACTCAAAAAAAAACTGAAAGGCATAGTATTGCATAGTATTTTTTGAAATTTAATGGAAATAAGATTATTTTCAGGCACCCAATAATTTTTTTATAAAACAATATACATACATATATTGAATATTTTTAAAGTGGCAATATCTTGAAGTTAATTCTCATTTTAATATAATTTAATGACATAATGTCAAAAAATCCTTATTTTTTAATATTATAATGAGTGTGTTATGATATTTTTTGTATTATGATTAAAACAACATTGGGATTCACCAAATGTGATAACGTAGAAAATACACAGCACAAAAATGAAGATATTATATATATTATAGTTGGATTAAACAAATGCCAATCGCTCGGATATGACTGTATAGATTGAAAAGTTGTTAAAGTTCTCCCTGAGAAAGCAGTCCAATTTCTAACTGCAACATACAAAGCTATTCTTTATACGAACCACTACCCCACCCAGTGACAATATGCTACTGTAGTTATGGTACCGAAACCAAATAAACCTGAAAATTTAGTGAAATCTTATCATCCTATTTATCTGTTGGTAATATTTTCCAAAATATTCGAAAGGATATTTTTGCGAAGAATGTTGCCTGTAATTGAGGATAACAATATCATACCTGAACATCAGTTTGGGCTTATAGTAAGATATGGTACACATAGGATTGCAAAAAGAATAACATAGGTGTATGCGTTGGAAGAAAGAAAATACTGTTCTGCAGCTTTTTTAGACATTCAACAAGCATTTGACGGAGTATGGCATCAAGAACTTCTTCATAAAATAAAAAAGATTTTGCCAGCGCATTGTTTCTTAATTCTGAAGTCTTATCTAAGCGGCAGGCATTTCTATGTAAAACATAAGGCAGCATCATCAGAATTTTACAGCATTAATGCTGGCGTACGCCAGGGTAGTGTTTTACGTCCCTTCCTATATACTATTTTCACATCGGATATGTTCACATTAGAAGCGGTAGAAGTGGCTACTTTGCTTATGATACCGCTTTTATCGCTTGTAGCGAGTATCCTGTAGAAGCTTCATCTTTGCTGCAAAAACAACTTGACATTTTGCAGTCTTGGCTAATGGAGAATTAGGTTAATTCGGAGAAGTCTACACATGTCACCTTTAAATTAAGAAGAGAGAAATGTTCTGCTGTATTTCCAAGCAATACTCAGATTCCCTTTAGGAAAGCATCTTGATCGACGTCTAACATGGAAAAATCATTTTAAGGCTAAGCAGCAGCAACTTAAAATTAAAGCAAAACGAATGTACTGGTTGTTAGGTCGAAACTCTCAGCTATTCTTAAGCCTATATGGACCTTTGGGATTCAGCTCTGGGGTACTGCTAACTAGTCCAATGTGGAGATGCTCCAACGTTGACAATCGAAAACGTTGCGATCAATGGTTAATGCCCCCTGGCTTGTAACCAATGAAGCAATTCACGAGGACCTAGGCATACTTTTTGAAAAAAATGAAATTCCAAAATACACCGCTAGATATCTTGCACGCCTATCTAACCACATAAATCCAACTGCTATACAGTATGTCTATTAGATACCACCAATGAAACTAAGTTAAGTTTTAGCTAATGATAATGTTGAGAATTTTAATAGAGTTAGCAGTAAATTTAAAGGTAATAAAATAAAATATTTCTTTATGTAGCTTTACGCATGTCTTAAGATAGACTGCAAATAAAATAAGTTAAAAAAATATATACATATATTGTATTATGTACATATGTATATGTATTTTCTTCTAATTTCTGATGAAATTTCTTCTTTCTGGGTTTTAATTTCCGTTGAAAGTATTACATAAATCCAAGTCCTGAAAATTGTTTGGAGGGTGCAATATGAAGAAGCTTTCCGATTCCATGGCAATATTTATTTGTACATATGTGTATAGAATACACGCTAGTAAATGCTTTTATGACCCATTTTTGTCCGAAAATCTCATACCTGAACAAATCGTTTGCACTGGTTGGAGAGTTTTCAGCATCAATATATAGTTCGTCATACATATATGTATGCTCATTCTCTTAGATGATTTTTTGACAAATTCATGACTCAAAATCCGTTCTGACCGGTTCTCAAGAACTGAGGCAATAGTTTGCTTACAAACGGACGGACAGACGAGCATAAAGAAATCAAACGGGCCTTCTCTCATGTCTTGTCCTTCTGGTACTTACATACTTCGAACCTTTAACTTCTTAAAAATAATCAATCAAAATCTCTTAGTTAATACCGTCCTAGGTATTTATCCACTATCAGTCACCAATGATTCACCAGTCAGCGGCAGTCATCAGTCATTTACAACAACTCATATATAGGCGCTACCACAGGCTTTCAATTGTCTCGCCTCTGTCCCTGCCGATTGCAGTATTATCTATACGAAATTGCAGTCACCTTACAAATATCTCTATCTTCTTTATTTTCGTAAGCAGTTCGTACGCATTTATAACTGAACCAACTTTAACCTTCCTTTGCTTTTACCAGCGGTTATAGCATCGCTTTCTCTCAAACCAGGAGTATTTTCATCATTTCGGATGTTGACCTACCCAACGTATCCACTATCTCTTTATACGCTGAACTAAGTCAATATCGCCGTATATTTCATGCAGCTCATCATTCCATCGTATGCGGTATTTGCCGTAGCAAAGTACCATAAATCTTTCGCGAAACCTTTCCCTCAAAAAATTCTAACTAACACTCAACAGATGTCGTTGTCGTCAATGCTTCTGCATTCTATATAGGGGGACAGGAATGATGAGCAACTTGTAGAATTTGGATTTTGTTCGTTGAGAGAGGACTCAACATTTCAATTGCCAAAATTGTTGTTACGCGGATTTCAAGTCTGACTTCTTTATTGGTGCTAAAGCTGGGCCCTAGATAGACGAAATGACTTGAAAGTTATGAGTCTCAACAGTGACATGGCAGTCAAAACACGAATGCGTTGACTGTTAGGTTGATTTTAGGAGATATTTCGTTTTGTAATCAGACATATTCCCTTGGCTTCTTTGTCTAATATATGTCTAATATAGGAAAAGCCACGAGACTTAATATGCGATAATGAAGTTGTGTATCCCACGGTGATTTGGCGCCGACTGTAGGGTACCCCTTTTTATGTATTGGGCAGAGCTCCAATCAGGCTCCAAACGTCAAACATGCGAATCTCCGCCCAAAATTCGATGCATGCACATTGTCACTTCTTATCCACCTTATGTTGAGAAGAAAAGCCGGTAAGGTGACGGCTCCAGTGCTGTTTGTATTTTAGCAGGTAGTCGCTATTCGTCTAATAGGATATCTTTCCATCATCTTCCATAAAGGAATTCGTACTCACCAACGCCAGGTACTACATTTCATCGCCATTCAGTCACTATAAATATTTTTCTTTCTCGATTTTTGTCATTCATCTCATTCAGCTCAGAGATTTACTCGTACTTACACCTAGTATAAAACCATAGATCAATAAGGTCTGTCCAACGATAAAAATATATATTATAAGGTCTGTCCAACGATAAAAATATATATTGAATACTTATATTTATAAAATAATTATAAGAAATTTTTATAAAATAATTTTCTTTTTCTTTGAAATTAGACCACATCATGACGGAGTTTTACGGAATACAAATGCAAAAGAATCTAAACTGTCGCCTACCGAAGACTATCGATAGCCGACAAGAGATCTTTGGCAATAGTGATGCACGCGAAAGACATAGAAAATTAGACTTATTCCGGGATATGATCGGCGCCAGTGTTAATTTGGCATTACGCGATAAGTCCTGCTGTATGGATATAAATTTCCTAAATCGCTTCCTTTACGCAAGAAAATTCGACTGTGAAGCTGCATTAGACTTACTTATTAAATATTTACTGTTTAAGGAAAACAATAAGCACATTTTACAAAAGCTCAGTATTTTTGATGAGAATATACAAACATCCTTAAGGGATGGTAATCCCTCCGTTTTGAAGCAACGCGATCGTAAAGGACGTAAAGTGCTAACATTTGCTGCTGCTAATTGGGATACAAGCAAATATAGTATGGAGGATGTATTCCGAGCCTTGTTGCTGTCATTGGACAAGCTACTGGAAAATGTAGAGAATCAAGCATTGGGATTTGTAGTTATAGTCGATTGGACAAATTTCACTTATAAGCAATCAAAGTGTCTATCAGCAAAAACACTTCGAACAATGATTGAGTGTCTGCAGGTGAGTGTATTGTGTTTAATTAACGGAAATTATCATTTTTTTTTGTTTTGTTTTGTATAAGCTAATATTCTGTATTATCGTTTATCCGGTGTATTATATCACGACGGTCGCTGCAGCCGAGTGTGTAGCAATTCATGCTACTATGCGTGAGGTCATGGGTTATAATGACTAGAGCCATATTCACAATCATGACAATTCTTTTAAATTTCGATTTCCCCCCAGCAGGGATGGTTAACCTTCTGTAGTGGATTTCTGACAAGAAAGAAAAAGTTCCTCACAAAAATCCAGCATCCGTTCGGCTTGAGATAAACCGTAGATTCTTTCACTTGTTAAAAAAAACATCAACATTCACACGACAACTTGGAGCAGGAGCTCGGCGATAATCGATTGAGCGGATAAAAAGCGCCAATTTCGTTAAATCAATCAAATAAGATACCAACCGGTCTTTCGTTTCGAAAATTAATAATAATTATATTATGATATGCCGCAGTGGCCGAGTGGTTAGAGGCATGATACGAGTACAATGATAATTAATGGTAGTTTCATTTTCACCTTGCAGTTAGCTCCATAGCTCTCTGACATTAAACGTGTTTCGCCTTTTTGTGCTACCCGCTTCTCTTAAAAAAATCTTGCACTTTTATTTAAAATTGGATATTTTTAATATTTTTTTAATTTTTTCCAACCCATAATAGTGAACCTCATCAAATTTATACCATTTATGACTGTTGTATTGCAACTTTAGTGAGTTGTAAGAAAGTTTTAGAAAGGCAAAACATACACACTCCAAAACTTATATCGAATTCAAGAAGATGAGTATCTGATTTGATTTCTCATATCTACGTTTGATTGCAAACCATTACCATTTTATCAGTTTGAATGCAAACCATTACCATTCTATCAGTTTTGAAGATATTTAAAGCATTTTTCTTGATATTTTGTAAACAATATATTTCTGATTTGGAAATCTTGTCAGCATGTTGCTCGATTACTGAACTGTGATACCGTGATGGTAGCTATATCAATTCTGTAGAGAAGATTACCCGCACATTTCACAAGAATGGCACATACAAGATTTGCAATGAGAGCTGGGCGTGTAGAAAATTTGTTTGAGAAACACCCCATCTTTCTACCTTGACGTTTCATAACACAGTGTCTGGTTATTACGCTGGTTGTTAAGCTTATGTAGGTCCTGCTTAGAAGGAGTAAATACTTAATTCTGTTCGCTTCGATCAATTTCATGTGGCTTCACTCTAGCATCTGCTGTTCACTCTACTGATGAAGACTAGTCTAAACAAATACTTAGCCGAGAAAAGAGTTATACCCATGACATGCGCAGAGTTTACCCTATTCGGCAAGCTTATCGGTCCCACAGTTCTCTAGAGTGTCTCTATGAGCAGGTACCCAAAGGATATATATTTCGCGTATAGTCGAGAAAACCCAAAAAAGTTGGCAAGATCAAACAATTCTGAGCACACACGTTTAGTGTTCAAAATTTTGAGGTGAGTTTGAGGCGCTTGCGCGAAAACATCCAGAAACTTTTGTGACAATAATGCGCCATCGCACCGAGCTGTAGTTGTAAATGATTTAAGACCAAAAACTCGTTCAAAACCATCGATCAAGCACTGTATTCACTGGATTTGGCCCCATGCGACTTTTTTTGTTTCCAAAACTCAAGTTACCACTCCCCCTCGTTTGAGGCAGTAAAAGAAAATTCGCAGAGTGAACTAAGATTGACTGATTTCAACAGCTGCTGCCAGTATGTATGAGCAAAATATACTCGTATGTTTATAATATACGAGGTGTGACAATTGAGTAATGAGACTGATTCCATAAAACCGTATATTTCAAAATTATTCTACAATGCTGCCAACCACAGTTTTACAATGATTCCAGCGCATTTTCCATGCTTCGAAACATTTCTGGAACGCTTCGACTGGGAGGTCTGCGTGTACCCTCGTCACTGCCCCCTGAATGTCCTCAATCGACCCAAAATGGATTCCTTCGACCACCGGTTTTTTTTTAGAGAACAAAAAAGTCACAGGGTGATGTATCGGGCAAATAAGACGGTTGTTGCAACACGGCCATCCCGTTAGAGGCCAAGTACTGGCTGAGGGCGGTGTGGCACGGCGCGTTGTTGCGATGAAGAATCCAGTTACGTTCGATGTCTGTGCGCACCCTGTTGAATCGTTTTCGCAATCTTTCGAGTACTTAGCGATAGTAGACTTGATTTGTCCCGGTGGAAGAAATTCTTTGTGTGCAATTTCACGCCTATCAAAAAAGGCAGTAATCATCGTTTTTACCTTCGACTTGCTCATGCGAGCTTTTTTCCGTCGGGAGGCCTGTGTGGACAACCATTGTGAGCTTTGGCGTTTGATTTCCGGGTCGTATTGAAAAAACCAGCTCTCGTCGCCTGTAATAACTCGATCAAGCATCATTTATCGGGACATGTTGCTCTTGATTTCGATTTTCCCTTTTTGTGGCGAGCACCACGAACACACGTTTACCCAACACGACACAGCAGGCGAACTAAACAAGCAAGAGTGGTAGCAAATATATTAATGGAGAGGAGAATGATCCCGGGAGAAGGGAAAGAGAATTTTAAGATCGCAGGGTTACCACAATCGCGGTAATTTAATCAGTATCATTACTTAATTGTCGCACCTCGTAATTGGCGCTTTGTAATCGCTGAAGCGGTTTTAGGCTGAGCTCCTCGTCCAATTTGTGGCGTACGTCTTGATATTCTTTCAAGAAATTGAGGAATCTTCAGTTTTCTACCAGGACGCGAACTCTGGCCTACAGAATGGCAGTACGCACTAACCAAACGACTATTGTGTCCACCGCCTCAATTAAATTTTTATTTTGGTAACTGTCATCAGCCTCACTTCATTTTAAAAGGAAAAAATTATAAAAAGTTTACTTTATGAATTTCATTGCTTTTCGTTCCACCTTTTCTGGAACATGGCAGCCTCTGCTCTCTCTCTTGAGTTGACAATCGATTATCAATTTCTCCATCTAAATCTTGTAGCTATTAATCAGAAGTCAATCAAAATTCCGGTCTTGGAGTTCACGCCACATGCCCGCGACGCGAGATACTGCGTTGCCTGTATGGCATCTAGCATGTAGTAGTTGGAATCAAAAGTCATTAATCATTGCTCTATAGTGTTCCCCATTGACAGCAACATTATGACCGGCACGACATTTTTTAAGAAATATTGGACCAATTGGGGTTGAAACAATTGCGGCAATTTCATTTTGGGCCCATTCACCGACCGCACGCGTACGTGTTGAATTGTCGGGTCTTCTACGATACTCTACCCCACAACAGCAATAATGTATTCGGTGCGTACTGTAAACGTGATGATTTCTAGAGTTACCGACTCTGCTGGGCGATTCTGCCGATCGTAAATTGGAAGAAGCTCACGGTGAGTCGCGCGAACCGAAAAATTTGTTAACGCCAAAAAAAAAGAATTGCCTCATTGAAAAGCCCACGTCTCTTTAGCTACCTACTTATATTACATGCGCTCGCATTTATCTTTAAATAATTTGAAAACATATACAAAACTGATGTGTTTTTCACTTTATTGAACTTATTGCAATCAATGTGTACACACCAAGCCATTTCTGGGTGGAGGCATTTTTNTAAAATTAGAATCGCTGCAAATTACAAGAAAAATCTCGGAGTCAAACCACTACCTCACAACTTAAATCCTGAATATTGTAGTATATAATATACATAAATATATATATATACATACATATTTGGTACTTTCTAACCGCATAAACAATTTTCGGCCGAGAACCTCCAAGAATTTGTGGTTTTGCGTCTGGATGTTTTTCCAACAAATGGAAGGACCAGTTTTTGTTAATGTTGCTGTTGTTGTAGCGGCTTCGTTAAACCCGCTTAGGGACAGGTGTATTAACCTATGTAGGCACACGAAGGGGCGGAAACCATGTCGAAAGGTGGATTGCATTTGATGAAGGTACTGCTGTGAATTTGGTGGGATATCCGAGGCGTGATCAAATTTGAGCTCTTGCCAGCTGGAGAAACGATCACTACCAACAAGTATTGTCAGCAATTAGTCGAATTGTAGAAAGCAATTGATGAAAAACGTCCGATTTTGGCCAATCGCAATGGAGTTCTTTTTTATCATGACAACGCCAGGCCGCCTACACACCGACGACTTCTAGTTCTATTTGCATGAAAGCCTTTGGCGAAATGGTATCATTGGTGACGTCTACAATGCGTGACAATGTCATGCAGTGAAAATTGTTTACATTTAAGCGCCTGCGACTATTAAAAGCCATTATCTAGCACACAAAAAGATGCCACCAAAATCTCATTATCGTCGACCTCGTTAAATTCGTTACTGGGAAGATATTTATATCATACAAATAGAACCCGATAAATAATCAGCTAATAGGATGTATATAGGTGCGCATGTATATTCTTATTATATATATATATATATATATATGTATGTATGGGTGTGTATCTTTAAGTGAAGAGCAGTTACTTTGGTAAATATTTGAGAAAATCTTTTTAATTTCGCAATATGTTTTTTTGTTTTTTTTTAAGGAGAAAAAATGCAGGTGTTTATGTTTTGGAATAAAATAAATAAGCGAAAATGTCGTTAAATTCAGTTATCTAAATGCAAACATTAGAGTGAGTTATATCTTTTACGAATTCTTTGAAGTATGTATCTTCTTTAGTAATTATTGAACACTTGAAGATTAGGATGATTTAAAGATCGACTTTCCAAAACATATGCCAAACTTGCTTTCGTATGGCATCATAGATGAAATAATTGTGAAATTTTGCGAGCAAAAGTCATTTTTTTCGGTCTATATTAGGTTTGAGCACGCGTCCTTCAAATATCGAACATATGCAGGAGCATTTCTTTGAAACTTATTGATCAATTTAAAATCTGCTATTTGGGTAACAATTATAATTTTACCTTTAATTATGATGTTGTGGATTCAAGACTATCCGCTATACACACAATTCATTGCGAGTTTATCCAATAAATTTGGTTTATAAAGCTTAAAATGAAGAAGAGCTTAAAAAGCTCGCCAACAAAGAGAAGAATGATTCGGCAGCTTACATAAGGTTTCAAGATCAGAGCAGACTCTTGTAAACACATAGAGATGATCTAGTGACTTGTACCCAGAGTATGCTGAATTTATGGTGGGGACACTTCTCCAGCCTGCTGAAAATGCAACATCCTAAGACGGCGAGCACAAAACCCCAGTCAGTGACGATGGAATAGATGTTCCATTACCCGACTATGTCGAGAATCGAATAGCAATTGCCCGTATAAAGAACAACAAATCGGCTAGAGCCGATTGCCTACCGGCTGAACTATTGGATAAGTGCATAAGTTCGTGCCAGATACCGCTGGATGCCGTTCGAATCGTTTGAGAGTGGCGCTCGTCAAAGAAATAGCCCGAACTGTAAATCAAGAATAAAATAACTTCATTTTGATTTGAGTTGCTTAATGAAAAGACGCATGGAAGATGGACAACGAAACGGCACGACATTTTTGAAGAAATATTGAACCAATTGGGGTTAAAACAATTGCGGCAATTTCATTTTGGGCCCATTCACCGACCGCACGCGTACGTAATCTTGTCAGCATGTTGCTCGATTACTGAACTGTGATACCGTGATGGTAGCTATATCAATTCTGTAGAGAAGATTACCCGCACATTTCACAAGAATGGCACATACAAGATTTGCAATGAGAGCTGGGCGTGTAGAAAATTTGTTTGAGAAACACCCCATCTTTCTACCTTGACGTTTCATAACACAGTGTCTGGTTATTACGCTGGTTGTTAAGCTTATGTAGGTCCTGCTTAGAAGGAGTAAATACTTAATTCTGTTCNCAAATGTTCAGCATGCCCCAAATCTTGGAAAAGGTACTTGGATACCTACATATCATCTTTTCATCGATTTTAAAGCTGTCTTCGACTGCAGGGTAAGAAGCTGCCCCTACGCCGCTATATCTGAATTCGGTATCCTCGCTAAATTTATACGGCTGTGTAACCTGACAGTGGACAACAACGAACGGAAGCGCAGTCAGAATTCGAAAAAATCTATCTGAGCTGTTCGGTACTAAATGAAGTTTCAGACAAGGTTACTCTTTATCGTGTGATTTCTTCGATTTGATGCTGAAGAAAATAATGAGAGCTGACGAACTGATTGGGAGAAGGTACAATTTTTTACAAGAGTGTATAGCTATTGGCGTATGCCGATGATACTGATATCATGGGCCTCAATAACCGCGCCGTTAGTTTTGCTTTCTCCAGACTTGATAAAGTAGGAAAGCAAATGGACCTGGTATTGAACAAAGGCAGGACGAAATACCTTCTGTCATCAAGCAAGTAGTCACTATTGACACTTATTACTTTGAAGTCGTAGATAATTTCATCTACCTTCGAACCAGTATTAACACAAACAACAACGTCAGCCATTAAGTCCAACGCAGAATTAGTTTTTCCAACAGGTGCTACTTTGGACTGAGTAGGCAATTGAAAAGTAAAGTCTTCTCCCGATGACCAAAGACAAATTTCAACTATTTGCTTCTCAATCCGTTCTGCTAAAAAAGGCGCAAAGGCATGGACGATGACAACATCTGATGAGTCGGCGTTGGGAGTTTACGCGAAAAAAGATTCCCTTAAGATTTATGGTCCTCTGTGTGTTGGGAACGACGAATACTGCGAGCGAGGTATACGGCGACATACTTTCGCGAATCAAAAGGCAGCGGCGAAGCTGGCTAGGACATATGCTCCGGATGGATACGAATACTCCAGCTTTGAAAGTTTTCGCTGCAGTACTCACCTTCAATCATCTAAAGGTATCTTCGCTCTAGCTTCTCTTCCAATTTGCGGGGTGCGTTTTAATGTTTTTACAACAGACAGATGGAGCTATAGTTTATTCGGTGATTTTTCGAGGAACCTTTTATTTCATGTCTAAATATACTCGGAGACCTTGATATTCCCTGCCGAGGGGAGACCGAAACTAAAAAAATTAACTTAATTTTTTATTTAAATTATTGCAATAGAAGTAACTTTATGAGTATACATATTTTTTCTTTCATATTAAGAAAATTATTAATGAAGAGTTTAATTTCTTTAATCTCTTTACAGGATTGTATACCAGCAAAATTCAAGGGTATACATTTTATAGGTCAGCCCTGGTATGTCGATGTCCTTCTTAAAGTAATAAAACCGTTCTTAAATGAAAAAATACAGAGACGGCTCCTGGTACACGGCACAAATTTGACAACCTTACATACCATGGTCAGTAAAGATATTTTACCACCCGATTTGGGTGGTGAAGGACCAGCTATAAACACATTGGACTGGTATCATTACCTATTGGAATCAAGCCAAAATTGTGAATTAAGAAAGTCTTATAGACTTATTGAGGCGACTGTATACTCAAGGACTACGGATTGGGCTAATCCAGCTGGTGGAGTAATTGGCGCAAAAGAACTCGAATCGAATGGAACCTTAGTTAATAATATCAAGCAAATCTCATGACATTGTAGACTTTTAGTTTTTATAATAAATCTCTTTAATATTGCACCTCATTTTTTCTGTATTTGATTTTCTCTTGTTCAAATCGGTACTCTAAAATAAGAATCAATTCTTTTCAGTCGCTGTAAGCAACAGGAGTTTCTGATTTTTAATATTACAACCTTTATTCAAGGTTTTGTTGATATTACTCAGGGATCGGACGCTACGAAAACGGCGGAAAAAAAGAGGACTGAATTTTTGATAGGGTCGAGATCCAACTATACAGGTATTCCGTATAGCCTCGACATTAGACATCAGCGCAAAGATCACTACGTTTTTGAGTTGAGTTAAATAATCTTCTCTACCTTTATTTCGGTAAGCAATAAGTGGAACCTCGCGCGGCCATTTCTTCCATCTCCAATACAAACCTGAGTAAAGTTTAAAGTGGTTCTGGATATTCCCATCGACTGTTTAAAATTTGAATCGCTGCAAATTACAAGAAAAATCTCGGAGTCAAACCACTACATATTATTGAAGAGTTCAAGCTGCCTCACAACTTAGATCCTGAATATTATAGTATATTATATACATAAATATATATATACATACATAATTGGTACTTTGTAACAACACAAACGATTTTCGGCCGAGAACCTCCAAGAATTTGTGGTTTTGCGTCTGGATGTTTTCCCAACAAATGGAAGGGCCAGTTCTTGTTATTGTTGCTGTTGTTGTAGCAGCTTCGTTAACCCCGCTTAGGGACAGGTGTATTAACCTATGTCACCGAGGTCATCTGTTTCGACGGGATCGGACTATAGGGAGAAGGGGGTTAGATGGGTCGGCTTCAGGGGGCTGGTGAAGAGTTGGTTTGTGTCGTGCAGACACTCTCTACATGCAGGCATACGTTGGGTATGTTGAGGTCGAGTCTGGATAAGTAGGAGTATAACCTGCTACAGTATGCAGGCTTAAGTTGTGCGAGTGTTACGCGGATCTCTCGAGGCAGGAGCTCGAACTCATTGGCTACAATAGGTGGTGCTTTTACTCCGAGTACGTCATTCATGGGAAGGTAGTCTTTGAAGGTGTTGACTAACTCCTGGTGAATGGCGTTCAGTGCTTGTCTGTACGCCGTCCTGACCAGCGGTTATTGCACGTGTTTGCCGTATGGTGTCCTTCATATCTGGTACTCCCTTTCTGATGTGCCTGAGTTGTACGCAACAGAGTTGACCGGGATTTTAACCGACCTAGGTCTGTGACCCTTTCGGAATTTTCACATCATCGATCTTCACATCTAGTTTGAACCTGTAATCCTTCGTCCAACTTGTGAAAAGGGTAGCCAAGAATTTAATCTTAGTCTGTCTTGCAGCGAAGAAGTGGAACAACATTCGAACAAAGGTCATCAATATCCTGACCAGACATCAATATCGTGCAATATTAAGCCGCCTCCGAACGGCTAATGGTTTTTGTATGTGGTGCCATTATTGCATGTCAGGAATACACTCGAAGAAGCGACCGCAATTGGGAAATTTAACTTAATTTTTTATTAAAATTAACTCTTCATAACTTTTGGATGTTGGTCGAGACAGGGTTTCAACCCTGCTGTTCCGAATGGCAGTACGCTAATCGAAATCGACGAGATGTCTAATGAATTTGCTNACTCCCGGTGAATGGCGTTCAGTGCTAGTCTGTACGCCGTCCTGACCAGCGGTTATTGCACGTGTTTGCCGTATGGTGTCCTTCATATCTGGTACTCCCTTTCTGATGTGCCTGGGTTGTACGCAACGCAGTTGACCCGGATTTTAACCGACCTAGGTCTGTCACCCTTTCGGAACTTTCACATCATCGATCTTCACATCTAGTTTGAACTTGTAATCCTTGGTCCAGCTTGTGAAAAGGGTAGCCGAGAATTTAATCTTAGTCTCTCTTGCAGCGAAGAAGTGGAACAACATTCGAACAAAGGTCATCAATAACCTCACCAGAAATCATTACCGTGCAATATTAAGCCGCCTCCGAACGGCTAATTTTTTTCTTTTTGTGGTGTCATTATTGCATGTCAGGAATACACTCGAAGGAGCGACCGCAATTGGGAAATTTAACTTAATTTTTTATTAAAATTAACTCTCCATAACTTTTGGATGTTGGTCGAGACAGGGTTTCAACCCTGCTGTTCCGAATGGCAGTACGCTAATCGAAAGCGACGAGATGTCTAATGAATTTGCTAGAAAACGCTCTTATGTCTTCAAACTAATCGACTTTGGAAATAAACCAGGGGGCGCAAAGTAACAATAAATGATGACGAGAACTTTCATTAAATCTATGCTAGCCACAAAAAAAGAGACCAAACTCTTTGCTGCTAGTGAAACTATCGTACCGTTTAAGCCAAATCTACATAGAAAAAACATCATAAAAAGCCTGCTACTTAAGCAAACGGCAGAGCAAGCGTCAAGTGCCGATATATATAGATGTGTACATAAGGGTACATGCATATTCCGAAAGTGAACGAGTAATTTGAAAAATTTTTGAATATTTTAGTTACATTTACCAATAGTGCTGGATCCGATACAGCCTGCTGTCTAAAAAAAACTCTATCAAAACTAGACCACGAAAATTTCCTCAAACAAATAAATTTTTGGGTAAACTCATCATTCAAATATGTGTCAAAATTAGCTTACAGCATTTCACAAAATCAAGTTTTCTTTTTTTTATTATTAATCATATTTAACTGAAATGCAGCGTTAACTTGTACAATTAAAATTTTAGCGCTCCATTGTAGATACGAGTACTTGTGGGTCTGGTGGCGCATCACCAGGTTTGTCATCATCATCACCACCACCCGTCGATGGGGCATCATCATCTGGTGCAGGAGGTGCGGGTAATTTTTTCGCCATATCTAAATACTTCTTGCTTTCAACGTCATTCAAAATTTTGAATGGCTGATCTTTGCCCACTATAGCAATAGAAATGTTCTAAAGAGAAAAAATGAAAGTAATGAATTATATATGTACATACATTTTTACAAATTGCAAATTTACCAGTAGTGGTGATTCGCTGTCTTCGTCATTTGGTAGCGATCCACGTATAGCTTGAATACCATGACATATTAATTCGTCTTTTGTGCAAACGAAATCGCGACCTTTCGAACTAATGTTTCGCTCCAAATATGTACGCGCACTTTGTGAGCGTGAACCAATGGACATTGCTTTGCAATTAAAGAAGTTTGCTGAAGGATCTACTTGGAATATGTGTGGACCTCTTTCATCGTAGCCGGCTACTAAAAGACCAACACCATATGGACGACGATCATAACGTTGTGTTGTAACTTGCATTTTATTGCCAAGATTCGAAATGAGCCGAGATACGGGATATCGTGCGCCGTAAGCGTACTTGTAGTTCAAACACTCGGTACGTAAATAATTACTCAGTACCCTTGCATCAGCGGTAATACCAGCAATCGAAATACCTAAATGATCATCAATTGGGATTACTTTGCGTTGGGAAGATGATAGCTCAGAAGCTGCACGCCGTAAAGCAACCAAGACAGCGTAGTCAGCGTTCTTCAGGCCAACTGTAGCCGAACCAAGTTTCACCGCTTCCATAGCATATTCCACTTGATGCAGGCGACCCTGCGGACTCCACACAGTAACATCACTGTCATATTGGTTTCGAAACTATATAAAAAAATAATTATTTTAAATAAATAAACATATTTTAAAGGATATACATACCATTTTTGTTAACACAGAAAAAATCTACAATGATTCGGCAAATAGTAAATGACAATGCCTGTCGCCAATTCAATAAGAGTAACAAAACTGCAAAATAATTAAAAACGAAGCGAGAATAAATACAACAGGGTAATACCAAATCTGTGCTGCCAGACATTATTAAATGTTTTCGTAAACAAAGAACCAAACTGTGCAACGAATTTTGTAACTTTTATTTAACACGCTGGTGTTCGAACGAGAAGGATTAGAAAAACCATGGAGGTCAATTAAGAAAAATCGTTTTAATATCTCTTTTTCTTAAAAATGTATTTTTAATAAAACACTTAATTTATTACGATAGTTTATTTTAAAATTATCGATTAAATCGGTTATCGCTCTTTGACCAAAAATTGCCGGTTAGACCCAATAAAAACTGCCATCACAACTATTATATTCCATTATTGTTTAGTTTCAAGTGAATTATGTTAGTGTTTTTAGCAACTAAATAATATTTTGAAAAATAGCAGCAAGAGGAAAAAATAAGCGACATGATAAGGATAGTTGCATTAAATGAGGAGTGCAATGAAGAACCAGAAGACCAAATTGTGGTCACTAAAGAAGCACAGGTGAGAACATATATTGCTTTTGCTTAATTTATTTAATACATATCAATGTTTATATTTTCCAATTGATTAGGAAGCGATTGCAGAAGCCGAATATTTAAAGGCTATAAATTTAAAATGGAAAGGTGACGTCAAATCCGCGCTCTCTTTGCTAAGTCAGCTTTTGGAAACTCAAGTTCTCAATGAGGTATGAATAAAACTATTTTAATCTGTTTAAAATCATTCCCAAATGAAGAGTTACTACGAGGAAATTGTTAATTATTTATTCCAGCTACTTGCAGAAGAATCTAATGGAAAACTGCGCACGATTCGTTATAATTGCCATAAAAATATAGCCTTCATATATGAAGAAAAGAAGGAGTACGAGCAGGCATTGGAACACTATATAATGGTATTTTCACTTTTTTCATCAAGATATGTGAATTATACAATTTTCATTTTCGTAATAAAAAATTTAGGCCACACAATTAGACGACACGGATGTACACACCATGCATCGATTTGGCCAATTGGCGCTAAAACTTAACGTAATAGAATTGGCTGAATTTGCCTTTGAACGATGCTTGCGCTGCAATGCCACGCATTGGAGTGCAGCAGATGGTATGTTACGGACATTATGTGAAAATCACAATATAATAGGGGCATATGGTTACGCATTGAAACTATACAATAGAGACCCGACTTACGAGAGGGCTGCAAAAATACTTTATGAAATATCTAACACTTTCGAATCATCTATGCCCCTTTGCGAGGATATGTATGGCCCAATACCAAAAACATTAGAACCACTTGAGTCGTGGGCGAATTCTAGTGTATTTCCACGAAAATATCGTGAGTGCAAAAAAGAAGAAAATATAGCACTACCCGCTGAAATAATAAAAAGAATATGCGTTAAAGAATTAAATTGGGTTACTCTCGGCCAGTATATAATCTCCTTATACCAATATATGCAAGAAAATGGCAAGTCACTAATCTTTCTTTTGAGCCTGAAAGATATATTAGCCGAAAGGAATGATTTGATCAATATGGAAAATGTCGATCCAGTGGAAATTTGTGATAAAACCCATATAACCGTTGTAACTAATACTAATTCCAATGGTAATCACGATGTAGCAATTGAAACTGATTTGACTAATGTCAGCAATATGCAAATCCAAACTGAAATACCTCCTACAACTAATACACCGCCGTGTAGTGAGTCAGAGCAAACAAAAAGGAATGCTGAAAACTCACCGGACGAAGCGGAAGGAGATGAGAAATCTACTGGCAATACAGAAACGAATAAACCTAAGCCACGTAGACGTTGCAGCGATTTACATTTCCTTGAACAGTGGGGTTGGCATAAAAATCGTCGTTATAATTCTCGTAAGAAAGTTTCAACCGATCGTGTTGAAATAGATACTTCTTTAAAAGGTATATTGAAGAAAATCTTCGTAAAGTACACGACGTAAGTTAATAGTTTGTCAGTTTTTAGAAAATATTTAAATTTAAAAATTATTATTTTAGTGTTAACTTTGATAAATTATGGCCTTTCGGTTCAGGAACATCGAAAATAGGAGCTGAAAAATGCAACACATGTGCAAGTGACACAATGTCAAATAATGAATTTCAGGAAATGACCAGGGAAATGTTTACTGAGTTTATAGCTAAAATTGAGGTAAAATCAATCAGCGCGGGAATAAGATTTTATATTTTATTTTATTTCTTTGCATAGGCACAAAGTCTTGATCCTTCACTTCTGGTTTTTGAATGGTTGAAATATATATCATCTTATTGGACAAACAGTCTGCCAGACGATATACGTGTTTTATATCTAGAAATATTTCCCATTTACTTGTAAGCTTTCCTATTTTAAACATTATCACATAGATATATTTGTAAGAGTGTTCATATTTATTGTATAATTCTGAAACTTTTCGAAACAGGGATAATTTTGACTGTTCACCATGGAATTTACAGAGTACTGAAGCGATTGAGACATTTTATAGAATGGCCATACTATATTTAGAATTGGATTACACCATGAAAAAGTTGCAAAACGAGTAAGTACATTTATGCGTAAAAAGTCGTTACAATTGTTTTATTTTTTAAGATCTATTAACACCTCTTCCTTGATAAAACAGTACTTTAGATCCCTATGCTCTTAAATAACTTAAAAAAATCTCAGTTTTTAATTAAAACTCCATTTTTTTAATAAATCATTTTTCATTTCAGTTGAAAAATTATATTTTTCTATTTTTCATTTTACTATAATTTTCTTCATATGTACTTTATTATTCTTGCAGTGATCTTTCACCTATGTGGAAACAAGTGTTCGATCAATTAACGTTCAGGTCTGGCATCGCTTGTGTGGAGCTCGGTCCAGCATTCCATCCGTATAAATTACGTCTAATAAACTTAGAATACTTATGGTGCAACAACCTCAATGAATTAGGAAAATGTATTGCATGCTTGGACTATATTGCCGAAATCATATCACAAATTGATGAAAATGATTATATATTGCATATACCAAATTTAAATACCAAATGTATATCAAAGAATGTAGTGCATGAAACGATTATTGATTTCAAAAGGTAAGCGATATACATAAAAATTTTTGCTACGAAAAAATATTTGTATTTAATAAGCATACTTGTAGACGCATTTCGTTAAGCAAGATACCCAAGCTTTTCGAGCAAGAAAAATGGGTGGAAATTGTAGATATTTTAACAGAAAATTTGTATAATGACATTGTTATGGATGATTGCGAAAATTGGGTAAGAAACTTTAAAACTCAAATAGAAGTATTGCTACAATCTTATTGGAATATAAACGCATATGAGGTAAGCGAAAATGGTACATTACGTAGGAAATAATTTGTCTTGACACCAAGTTTTAACAATTTTTAGGATTGCTTGAAATGGGCTGAGAAGTTCTTACACTTTTGTATACAAAAATATATGCAAGAAACAAATAAAGTGCGCCAGCAAGAGCTGTGGTCTGTAGCACTAAATTATATTTACTCATATATAGAAGTATTAATCTTAAACGAGGGCAATGATATATGTATGTTTGATATTTCGAAAAATTTTCACTGAATTTACTAATAATATTTCTTTTTTCAACATTTAGTGCATTGTTTAGATGAGATGCTGGCCCGTCTCGTACAAAATACAATTTGCATATTATCATTTCACTTAGATGGGAATCAGGCTGTTGATAAGAGTAGCACTCCAGAGAAAGAATTCGATATGAAACGGCCATTTGTTATTTTACATCAAATTATGTTGAGGTAAGAGTTGTTTGTGAATGTTACTAGCTCTAGTAAATATTTCGATTGTTTTGTATTTTTTTTCCTTAGAGACGAGAATAATACCTTAACTGTTACGAAATCGAAAACTGCTAATAACGCTGAAGAAGAAGAGGGTCCTTTACCAGGCTCATTTTCTATATTATTCACTGCACATGAATTTTTAGGCAAATACCAGTGCTGTACACGGAATGATGGCGATTTCTTGCATTATATTTTAGATGTTATTGTGCCCATAATTCGTGCACCACTTTATGACTCATGTCGAGATGCACTCTACGAATATCTAGAGCAAGTAAGAGCGAAATCATGAAATCATAAAAAGCAAAGCAACTAAATCATTTAAATTTACTAAATATTTTCTAATTGCAGGTAACTTTTTGCTTGTATGGCTATCCGCAAAAGAAAGCACGTTCTCGCCATCTCGAAGATCATGAGGCAACCAATGTCGAGTTAACATGGCCAAAGGCTATTCAAACATTTGACTTATATAGACCAGAGTGTTTGCCTGAAATTAACTCGTATAAGTTAGAATCAATAACAGCAGATTTAGAACAGTTCTTCTTAAAAATTGTTGCTTTAATGCCTACGGAGCTCGATCCAACACCAGCCACGACAAAGATACAAGAATTCATTAAAGGAAATGATTTTGAAACACTCGAACCAGCACATACATCATTACCGCATAAAATACGTTCTATTTTTTATTTACTGGCTGATTATTATTTTAAAAATCGAGATTTTTCTAAAGCAATTAAGTATTATACATTGGATTTAACGATAAGTCCCACGCGATTTGATTCGTGGGCGGGTATGGCTTTGTCTAAAGCGAGCAAAATCGAAACAAGGCTGAATGCATTGACACCATTGAAGTATGTATTAAATTTTTTCTCTTCCACTAATCTATACTCAATAGACTTTTGTGTACTTTGAAAGCAAAGCTGCTTTTCATCGTTTTAGAAAAAAATATTTTTCATACTACTGGAAGAGAACATGGCAGAATACTGCAATTTTGTTTGATTTTAGTTGCTAATGTTAAAGAGGATGTTACCATAAAAAATCCTAATTCTGTATATATATATATTTTTTTTTTTTTTTTGCATCAAGTTTCTATTTATGGATAATAATGGAATATTTTTCAATGAATTGATTATCATTATTGAACTCAGTTTTTCTTGTATTTTATAACTAATAACTCATTCTCTCCATATAGTCCGAATAACGTATTGGCAGAATCAGAGGATACAATTCGTTGTTTTGAAATGTGTATTTGCTTAAATCGCCAACAAACTTTACTCTGGATAGAATATGGCTCATTCACATACACACTCCATTCGTATTGCTCACGGCAATTAAAAAATGCAGCAGAAAATTTAACAACTGAACAGTAAGATTCTTAATAAAAATAAAATGTTACACCGAACCACTTATAAAAAATTCCGTATCCTTTCCAAAGATCATCGATGCTGCAAGCGCGCAAAGGACGTGTATTGAATATAGCTCATAATTGCTTTTCTTTAGCTGCAGCTTTACAAAATACTGAGGAAGCAGAAAGTGATGATAATGAAGATTCACATGAAGAGAAATGGTTATGTCAGTATATGTTGGGCAAAATCGCTGAGAAACAAAAAGAACATCCTAAAAAGTATTTAAATTTTTACTTGAAGGTAAATTTATTGAGTAAACAGTACTGAAACAATACATACAATTTTCCCTTGTTTTTCATGCAGGCTGCCAATAATCTTTATGAAAGCAATGCTACATACCCCATTAAAATCAATCATAGCAATCCCACAACATTATCTGTAGAAGCTTTGGAGATTTTTTACCGCACCAACGCGTCCATAATTAAGTTTATGGAACATCAAAAAGAAATATCACGTGATATCGGCAACCATATAAGCAATGTTTTGAAAAGCTTGGCAACTAGCCCATTCGCTTTTAACAAAGCGAAAATAGATGGTGAGTTTCTAAGAACGTATTTCACATATTTTATTCAAAAAAAAAAAATTATTTTATTATTTTAAAGCATTATTTTCCTCACTTTAAAGATTACCATGTAAATGCAAATCTTTTCTTTTAGGAAATAGTTTGAATGCTTTAAAGCGTAAAGCCGTCATCGATAAATCGGAACAAGCAAAACTGCAAAAAGCTTGTAAGAAACCTAATCATGGTCCAAATTTTACACCCGCACTAACTCGTACGGAAATAACAAAAGATGATATAGCGGAACAAAATACAAAGGTCGGCCCAACTGAGGCGATAAAAGTTGCTACGCCAACGCAAGAAGTGAACGTCGTTGACAAGGCTACAAATAGTAGCAAGAGTAATCCCTCCCGGCGCGAATCAGAGGTGAGTGAGATTTTTTATTATATAATTCAGCGTATTTTGGTTATTGTCACGGTATAGGTGGTGTTAAGATCTTTACATCTAACTAATGTGTGTTTAAATCCAATATTTAAGTATTCTTATATAAATTTAATGAATTAATTTTGTATACGATTAAAAACCTTAAAAAAATTCATAACCAAAAAAATGTCGATTTAGAAAAAAGATATTAATTTATTAAATTTATTTTAATATTTTTCTTCGTAAAGTTCTCTCTATTCATTGCTACTCATTCAGCTTCAGCGGCTTCGCCTTATTTTTTATTTTATAGAAATCAATTGAATTTTTAAGATATGAGTTTACTAATGTAAATTTTGTTTTCAATCCTTACAAGTGCATAATGTTTTTCTTTCTTATTTATTTTTACACTTCGCATGTGTTATACGCATATGTATGTATAAATGTACAAATTTTACGAAAATTCTACTTGATCTTTATTATAATAAAAAAGTACAAATATTTTTTTTTTTTGTTTGTATAAATGTATTGTTAAATTAGTAAATCTCAAGTATTCGGGGAAGATTTAATTGTTAGTGTCGGCGTGGAATTCAATTTCAATTGTCCTTGATACCACACCTTCAAACGATGTGCTATCTCTGAGAAGGATGGTCGCCGCACAGATTGTTCATGCCAGCATTCAATCATAAGGGAATAAACAGCTGTAGGGCACGCTTCTGGACAGGATAGTAATTGTCTTGAACGTACCAAATTTATAACCTCTTGATTACTGTGACCATAGTAAGGCTGCCAAATAAGATTTTGTTAAAATATATAACATAAATAATTATAATTTCTTTGCGTTAAGTAAATAAGTTATCATTTATGGTATAACCCACCTGCATGCCATAACTATAAATTTCCCATAATACAACACCGAAAGACCAAACATCACTCTCGGTGGTAAATTTGCCATATAAAATCGATTCAGATGGCATCCATCGAACTGGCAAAAGCGATTTTGATTGTACTCTAAAAAGAAATTAAATAATTTTTACATTAAACAATGTTTGAATAAATAAAAAAAAATGCATGTAATAACTCGCACCTGTAATAATCAGAGCTATAAATATCTCTTGATAGACCAAAATCTGATATTTTTACTGTCAATTTATCTCCAACCAAACAATTCCTTGCCGCCAAATCGCGATGTACATAATGATGATTCGATAAATACTCCATGCCTTCGCTAATCTGCAGTGAGATCTTCAGGAAATCCAATTGTGTAAGTGATTTATTTTCACTTGGTGAATTAGCAATAAGAAATTCATGTAGATCACCATTGGACATATACTCAAAGAGCATACAATATGGTTCCTTATTTAGCACCACACCCAAAATGCAAACAATATTATCATGTTTCAAATCGGATATTAATTCGATTTCTCGTCGAAAATCTTGTTGTGTTTTGAGTGATGCATTCTCTTTTAATGCTTTGACTGCAACAAATATTTTCTCACCACTCACTTGGGTCAATTGACCCTTATACACTTTACCTACAAAGAAATTACATACAGTTTTTTTTTTGTGTTTCGAAAAATATAATATTACTTATAGCATACCAAATGCACCCTCCCCCAATTCCTCAACGAATTCCAAATCCTGTAGTGTATATTGTGGTACTCTGAGTAGTGAACTTCGTTCCAAATTTTGTGAAAACATTGATTGTTGTTCATTATTTGTATTATTACTATTTAAGCGTGTCATTTCCAACGATGAGTTGACTTGGGAATTTCCATAGATATTTTTATCCGCATTTGGTGTATTGATCTAGAAAGAGAAGTCGCATTAAAAATGTATATATTGTAATAATATACATATATATTTTTTATGTGTTTAAGTACAATAGACGTCGAGCTTCGAGTTAATTACTAATTGAGTTAACTAATCCATACACACCAGAGACAAACCCAACGATATCATTTCCCGAACGTTCCGGCGTCATGTTATTAAAACGAAATGAAATCGTTAACCTTGAAACGGCACAAAACTCATCGTTAACGTTAATTTTAAAATAGCTGCTTGCTATGATTTAGCAGCAGACTTCAATTTTAACGTTTAACATCATCTGTTAACTTTTAAATTAACGACAGCTTTTCGTTTCCTAAAAAACCCAAAAATAAAACTGCTTTATCGTTAATATTTTCAAATGTTCCAACGGAAACGATTCATGTTTTTGCGATTAACGAGATTTTATCTTTAAGAGGCAACTTTAACGGAAACTATTAAATGAAATTGAATAAATTATGGCATCTAAAATTCAATTCAATTATTCCTTCTGTTCAATTAACGCTTATCTCTAGTAAAATAAAATAAAAAGAAAGTTTTAAATTAAATTTGATTTCAAATGTATCTCTACTTCCGTCTTTTATTGTTTATAACTTTTATATAAATAAAATATCCATAAAATTTTATTTAACTCCTTTATGAGTTCTGATTTTGGCAGAACTGTATAAATGATAGCACTGGCCCTGTCCTTAAATATTCACAATTTCTTGTAAAAAAATAATATTTCAATGTACTCACATTTTGGATGTTTGTCATGCCACCATTGCGACGCCTTTTCATACAAACATATACAATATAGAAAATAACGCAGCCAATTACGGTACCAATTGTGACAAAGATATAAAACCACATTTTATCCGCACATTTTGGTATTTCACATAATTCGATAATTTTTTCAAATGACTTATCATCCACAAAACACCACGGACGTTCTTCAACATTGCCAGGGTTTCTGTAAAAATTAAAAAATAAATTTTACAAACAAATAAATAAAGCTTTAAATATATCTTTCAAAAAAAAATTACACATTTACCTGCAATAATTTTGGCCCGCCAATTCCGGATAATCGGAGATCTCCTTCATTAACGAAGACCAACGTAAACATTGCTTACCCGTGCCTGATACCGCCAAAGTACCACGATACCCAGCACCATTCTCCCAATAACAATCTTGTTCGGGATTCACATCGATTGTAATGCCCAACGATGCACAATCATCGTGACGTGGTAAACTTTGACATTCTTCCAAGGGTAATTTTTGACCCAACACTGGATGACGTTTAGCAATGGCATACTCCTTTTGACACAATTCATTCTCTAACAATTCACATTCGTCACGGCATATTCGGCGTAGATTTTCGGATTCTCTTGTTGGCGGATAACGACTTGAGATTTCAGCAGAGAACACATCGTCATAGGCTAGGGTTGATTTACGCTTTAAAAAGGAACGACGATCTTTTAAATTTTTATCGAGAAAACGTGGCCGGCGATAACCGGTGATATGATTTTCTGTACTCGCACTCGTTGTATCATGTGTGGAGTTAGATTTTTTTGATTTGCTGCGTTCTTTTTGTGCGGCACGATTTGAGAAATAAAGTAAATTTGTGCGTTCTGGTGTACGGCAGAGTGGCAGTGAACTGAAACAGAGGCTGGGCAGTGCGTAAACGCGACAATTTGGATTCATATCCCTGTTGGGTGGTAAAGTATCTCATATATATTATATATGCACCTATGTTTAATTTGAGATTGTACTCACTTTGATTCCTTTATGACACCATAGGCCGCCTTCAAACGTTCTTCGATTTCGTTGAGTGAAAGATTTGGTGGTACAAAGACATTTTGGTTCTTTAAGAATTTCTCACATATTGTACCATAATAGACTTGACATATGCCCGATGGTATCTAAATGATTAAATTAAGAAATTGTAAAAATTCTATTTATACGTAGTTATTTTTGAACATAGTGAGAGATTAATTCCTTGCAAAAATGTTCTCTTCTCTAAAAATATATCCCATATTAGAAGTAGTAATACATTATTAGCCAATTTAAACCCTATCAGAAAGAAAAGGCTCTAAATATAGAACTCAGTCGACACCTCAGCTATTACAACAGGTTTTCCAATAAGAGGTTTCATTGCTTGTTTGTCACTTAGCGACGTCTTGCTGAAAGTCAACGTTGTCCAGATCAATAACATCTAATTGTGGCTATAAACAAAATCATTACTCGTCATTCATTTTCGAAAAGTAAGGTCCAATTAAAAAAAAAAAAATTAAGTTCAATTTTTTAATGCGGTCGCCCCTCGGCAGGTAATGTCAATCCCTCCGCGACTATTAATGACATAAAACAAAGGCTCGTCTTAAAAATCCATCAGCCGTTCGGAGACAGCGTAGTATAAACTGTAGGTCGCTCCATTTGTTGGAAAAAAATCAAGACACACACCACAAATAGGCCCAATGACCTCGCCGGATCATAAACCGCACCGAACGGCTACACGTTGAAGATGGAGCGGTTTTTCAACGATGAATCTTGTGTAGCCTTCGTCGTGGAAATGGGTCTCATTAGTCAAAATGATTTTTCAATGAAATTGCGGATCATTTCTATGCATTTTAAAGACGCAATCTGCAGAGACACGACGTTATTGATGATTGGCCGGCTGGAGTTCTTGTGTTAACTGAACTTTATAAAACTTAAGACTCAGGTTCTTCTGTAAATTTCAATGTAATGACGTTTGTGGAATGCCCAATTCCAAAGAACGACGAGAAATACACAAACCTGGGTTTTCTTCAACACTTTGGGCTACAACAACAAATGTTTAAGTTTTACAAACCATCTCTGTCAGGAATGAAAAATTTGTATAGTGAATTTGAATGATAACAATGCGTTATTGAAGTGTGTATCATTTCATTATTGGGTTTAATATTAACTTTTCGAGTGCCAAAAAATTACAGCTTTAAAACTGGCATTTACCGGAATAGCTTCCTATTCATAATAACACCTCTTATTGGAAACTCCTTTATTATCATCAATAAAAGCAATTTAATTAGAATCTTCCGGAATTTGAATTCATATTAATAAAACTCCCAAAATATAGGAAAAACGTATTCGTTGTATGCTTTTGGCGCCTACTAATTTTAGTATTAACTTTATTAAATTGTTTTTTGACTAATGAATATTTTCGCTTGATTAATTAAATTATCGTTAGGTAAATAATTTTTTCGATAGACTTTTGGTTCACACTTTAATTACTCTACATACGTATGTACTCGTGCATACATAAATATAAATCCATACGCGTTTAAAATATTTTGTACATACATACATATCAAGCATACCAACTCTTATCATTTTACAACTTTTTTTTTCAATTGTCTATATACACACAGTTTTAATTACTGCATCAATTACGTATTCATCAAAAAAAAAAGCATATTGTCTTGGGAATTATGCTCACCTCTTCATTGTGTGGCTTCGTTGTAACTTCAAAATTTAACCTGTAATAACAAAGATATTTACACTCAACAAACCAAAGTGAATTACTAAATAAATTTTTAAGCACAATTTTGAATCGTGATGAATATTTATATAAATTATTTATTATTTTCCACTAAAATTTAACCAACCCATTTTCATACACGCCTAGACCACAAACATTTAGCACCGAAATTAATAATATAAATATTGTTTTTGTAAACATTTTCTGGCTTGTGGTGTTTGGAAACGTCGTCGCCCTAATGCAGCGTTTTCGTTGTGAAGTATACATATTGATATAAGATTTTGTTTGGTGTTTATTTGTGTAAATATTACATTTTTCGCATGATTTTTGTTATGTTTTTGTTACTATTTCCTTTATAATACATTTTGCTTTTGAAATTTTATTTCTATTTGTTATTTTTAATTCATTGTTTTAATTGAAAATTTTTTTTTGATTCACAAAAACTTCAGGGCGACTAACTGCATTCACTAAACTAAATGTGCGTGTGGAACAAAGCAATTTTAATATATTCCACCCTTAAATTTATTTCGGAAATGCCTAGTGCGTACATATGTATGACGGTAATTTCAACCCTTCAGATTTAGTTGAAGTTGTCCGTTTATTGGATAGGTATTGCCATATTGAAGTTTAAGAATATTAGTTTTTTCGTTTAATAAATCAAGTAGCATGCGGTCCGGATAATATCCTAACTAGTGTATTTAAATTATTTCGCTAAATTTTTATATTATATAAAGTGTGGTTTTTTAAGAGCTATAGGAAAGTTTTCAAAAATAAAAACATATAAAATTTAGAAAAATGCATGATATCTTTATTTGAATCGATAGTACGGTCCATAAAATTTAATGTTTGAAGATTATCCATGCTCTATTATACTCTTTCCCACATTTCGGCCGGTATCCCACAAATAAGTGCTACAGTGTTGTCCTCCAATGCATCAATTGCAGCGGGCTTGTCTGTATAGGCACTGAATTTAACATAACCCCACAATAAATAGTCTAAAGGCGTTAAATCGCACGATTTAGGCCGCTTATTGGCCGATCCCGAACGTGCAATAAAATGTTCACCGCATCTGGCACCGTCTTGTTGAATACACATGTCTTACAAGTCAAGTTCTTGGATTTTGAGCAAAAAAAGTTAGATATCATCTCACGGTAGCGCTCAACATTCACAGTTACGTTCCGATTCACATCATCTTTGAAGAAGTAACCCATAAACCGCACTAAACTAGGACTTTTTCTGGATGCATTGGTAGCTCTTGCAATGCTTCTGGCTGATCTTCATTCCAAAATCGATAATTCTTCTTATTTGGGCACCCATTAAGCCGAAAATGAGCTTCGAAGCGCGCTAGGAACTTTCTTAACGGAGCACGCATTTTGATAATAAAATTCAAAAATGTGCAAGCGTTATTCGTTTGTAAGACGCATGGTTAAATTATAGACCAAACTGAAGATGTTTGGCAGTGATACAAAACCCCAAACGTGCGTCAACTATTTAAGCCAGTGTTGCCAAAAAGATAGTAGCTAAAAAAAAAATCACCCTTTATATGTACAATTAACGAACCTATTCAATGCTTCGTTAAAAGCAATATATGATATATATTTTACCTCTACAAAGTGTGGTGGTAGATCTTCTATTAGGAATTATGGGGTGCTTTCAAATTTTCTTTCCCCAAAATGTTAGAAACTATAGAGTTTTCCAATAAAAAGTGTTATTGTGATATTCAAATAAACTTTTCCTTTAATAGTTCTATCGTTTGCATAGCAACGTCTTGTTGAAAGTAAACCTGGTCCCGATCAATACCATCCAATTCCCGTACATAAAAAATCATTGATCATCTCTCGATAGCGCAATCCATTCATTTTCGAAAAGTAAGTTTCAATTAAATACCCAAACTATAGAGGGAATCGAAAGTTATCGATATTCCCACATTTGGAAAGGTGTTTCATAGCAAACCGAAGGATTTTACACCCCTGAGTCTGGCATACCTTCTACTTAAGGTAACGGAACGATTGATTGAAATTCATATTAGGTCTAATGTGGATCATAGTCTCTCGAAAAAACGGAAAGTCTATATAAAAGGTAGATCAACTTAAGAGATCAAAGAATACAGCATAGTTGTTTTACTGGATATTGAGGTTGCCTTCAATAATATAGCGCCAAATGTAGTTACTTCTGCCCTAACTTGCCTGGGTATGGACCTTTGAGTGATTTCTTTTATACGCCAAATGCTCAGATGCAGGGTTGTAAGTTCTGAGATTTGCAGGCACTTAAGTATGTCAGCAGAGGAACCACACAAGGTAGAGCTCTCTCTCGTTTTCTATGAGTCTTGGCAGTGAATTAATTAATGAGATACATGGAGGAGGGGGTAGATTGCAGGGTCATAGGATGATCTGGCGGTTATTGTGAATGTCAAATTCCCACAAACTCTGAGTGATACCATGCAAAGCGGACTGAGGAGGAGTGAGCTCGTTCTTTTTACTAGGAAGTATAAAATTTCCAAGTTTACAACACCAACTATCTCAGGAATGGGCTTCCGCATTGCTGAGTCTGCAAAATACCTGCGACTCATCCTAGGCAGGAAATCAGGCTGGTCACAGAATTCGGAGGAAATAATGTGAAAGGCGTCCATTGCGCTCCTGTGCGTACCACACCCTCTGAGGCAATGAATGTTCTCTTAGATCTACTCCCCGTTGACATAATGGGGATGCACAATGCTGCTTGTGCCGCGGTAAGGCTGTAAAAGGTGTCTGAATAAATAATAATAAAACCATGGGCATACTAGCTTCTTAAGAAGATTTCGCATTTGAGAGGAAACAAAATACTACATTTCATTTACTGACTTCATGGCAGACTTCAGGGTAGTTATCCCGGATAGCAACCTTTGCGACAGGGCCGGTGGGGGGGTTTACTCAAAGGAACTTGGTACCTATACTTTCGCTTACCGGATCACCGGAGTGTTTTTCGGGCAGAATTGGTGGCCATACACGAGGCTGTCAACTGTCTCAGGTCATTGGTACTTTCGGAAAATCATATCCATATTTTCTAGGATAGCCAGGCCGTATTACGAGCCCTGGAGTTTGTAACCGTAAAATCTAAAACCCCAGAGGACTGTCGAAGATCACTTAACGTGATGGCTAAGCAGTTCTCTCTGAACCTTGTATGGGTTTGAACATGCCGATTCCCACTTGTAAGCTCAATACAAGAGACTTATTCATTAATGGTGATGCCTTAAGATAGAGAAATCTCAAGACATGTAATGTTGTCCTGGCCATAATATAACAGTAGAAAGTGATGTGACTTTATCGAGCTGAAAAGGAAGGATATATCTACAGTTATAGGTCATCCTACAGGACATATCTTAATGGGCAGGCACGCAGAGAGATCCGGAGTGCCATTTAATGATTTCTGCAGAAGTGGCAGACTGGAACCGGAAACTTTAAGACAATTTCTAGGCGAATAGCCCATACTTTGGAGGAGTGGGCTAAGATGCGGCAACTGCTCAGTTTTTCAAACTCCACGCACTGATTTGATTAGCGGGTGGGTGTATTTGAGATCCTCGATATCCGGCAGCCACTTAAACCAACCAACCAACCAAGATCCAATGACCCCGGCCAAAAAGCAAATCAATTAGTCCATCTCACAGCATGGGATTTGTAAAGGCAAATCTACCCTATCGAACCCAGAATTCACGACACTTGTCATTAATGGTTGCAGCAGTGGTTAACATACTGATGTTCTCTACATGCCTTCAGCAAGGCATTTGACAAAGTCTCTCATTCAACTGGATTATTTCTAGTTTCTTCTTTCTTTTCTTAGGTGGATTTGTCGTACTTGATTGGTAGGAAACAAAAAGTAGTTTTTAAATATTGTACATCGCATAAAATATCAGTAACATCTCGTGTTCCTCAAGGCAGTCACCTCAGCCACTTACTCTTCCTTATATTCATCAATGACCTGCCAAATCTGATTCTTCATTCTAAAACACGCAGATGTACGCAGATGATGTCAAGCTTTTTAGACCAGTTCATTCTTTTGAAGATAGTGAACTGTTGCAACTTGACCTAAATAATTTAGTAAGGTGGTGAGATGTGATTTGTTTGTCCCTAAATTTAAATGAGTGCAAATATATGTTTTTCTCCAGAAAATCTTTCCAATCCTTTGTCTATATGATACATAATGACAGTGTTGAACAAGTTATTGACTTCATCGATTTGGCTGACACAATATAAGCTAATAAGGCAAAAGGCGTCTTAGCCTTTGGCCCATTAATTATACACTGATCTGTACAAAAGCAATTCTTATTAAAGGTTGCGTCATGCGTAAACGAATTATAGGCATATTTCAGTATTCAAAAATCAGATTTTTAAGTATTTCATGGCTTATTAACATAAATATAATTCAAGCCAAAAATATTAATTTAAGAAAATTTTACATTTTGGCTCACACAATTTTTTACGTTTTCTGGAACACCTCTCATCAATGCAATCACGGTACTTTCTGCGATCTTTCTGCGCGCTGTTCACCACATGCGTCGAAAGTCTGTTGTGTCTGCAAGCTCCTTTTATTGCCGTCAATTCTTTTTTTATAAGGGCCTAATATGTTTCGATTTTCCGAAAGTTAGTTGGATTTGCATTATGTTGTGTTACATAATTTTCCGGGACCACTAAGAGCCGCCTTGCTGTAATGACATGATACAAGATTAGGCCAAAAAGAAGGAGAAACATGACGTTTGGCTAAAAAGGCTTTAGTCTCTTTTGCAAGCATTCTTTCATGTAAATATCACCATTAATTTTATCACATGTGCAAATAGCTTGCCAAACTAAAAATTTTTGCGTAAACTTTGCCTTTCTTTGAGTTTTAAGATTTTTTGAACGTTTCCTCTAGCATCAGCAACATAAAATGCTTTGCTGGGCACCTGAGAAAAGTTGGTCAGGTCGCATGTTTCGTCGTCGATTTGTTCATAAAGTCTATTCTTAATTTCTGAACGCGTATCTTTGTCTCGCAGTTCTTCTCATCGTTTCGGTCCGGTACTAATTTCTGATATCGCACTCTTTATTTGTGTTATGAAATTTAAACTGGAATGCGAATAAGAATCTCCCTCCTTACAAAAGTGATTTGCGGTTAATTAAAGTGTCTGCACTCTATGTATAGTCATAGAAAGATGTTTGGAGTTTTAATTTTAACTAAATTGATAAGGGGTTATCAATAGCCCAATCCCACTTAGCGAGCTTAACTTTAGCATCCCTTTTAGATACTCCAGACACTTTCGACCGCCTTCATTGTGTTCATGCAGAACAAACTTTGAAATACATGACTTTTTTATATGTTTGTTGCAACTATTTTAATACTCATTCCGTCTGCAATGATTCCTCCCTATTAAGTAATTTCCTTTTCCCTTTTCCATGTAGTTTGTAGGAGCTGATGAGCAAATCTGTAACATTTTGTTGTAAGATGCAAGTGTAACCGCGATCTTCCGTGATCAGTTCCGTGTTCAGGGCAGTCCGTGTTGTCACTGATGTTCGGTCCCTCGTCTGTTGGATTTTTTTATTATCCTTCAGGCACGTCTCACGGTTGGTTAGTATCATTTAGATTTTTTTTAAAGCCGTGAAATATATGGGTGTTTATGGCGTTAAGTACGCTTGCCCACTTTATTGAATCCATTGCAAGGAGCCCTGTATTTTTTTTTTTATCGAAGTCGGATTAAGAGGCATTTACCTACCCTACAACCCGCTGGACGTTTTACGTGAAGAAACCAAGGACTACGATAGTGTTTCGCAGGACAGTCCGGATTATCGCTGGATTTGGGTAACCCGTCTGTTGAATTTTTCGAAAGACTTTGCTGAGCGGCAGGTGGATAACGCTCGGTTCCTCGTCAATAGTCTTATTTTATACATTAAATCTTTTGTATGAAAACTGTATAGAAACAGTTTTACTTTAACAATTATACATATACTATTATGTATATAATAGACACTTTGTAAGCCCTGAAGCGGTTTTGGGCCAAGTTCCTCCTCTGGTTACTGATGTGCGCCTTGATGTCTTTTTTTGCCAACAAATGAAGAGGAGATCTACAGTTTATTCTATGCCGCCTCCGAACGGCTGATATCCTTTTAAGAGCAGCCTTTATTTCATGTCCAGAATGCACTCGCAGAACTTGACATCCCCTGCCGAGGGGAGAGCGCAATTAAAAAAATTAATTTTCTATAGTTTTTGATGCCGATCGAACCAGGGTTCGAACGTTATTAGTACGGAATGCTAACATGATCCAACTACAATATATCTTTTAAAAGCGAGAAGCACTTCATGCTTATATTGAACTGAACAACATATTTATATGAGGCTTGACCATTCGCTGCGCCGCAGTTCCTATCTATGGCACTGTATAGAGTCGGTATAGTCTTACCGTCTCTCTTATTCTCTTCCTTATGTAACTGGGTGGAGATACAGCCTCGAGTAAATAATGTCTTTTGGGTCCTTCCGTCCCGTAGTAACCCAGCAAGTATTGCTTGCACAGCTTGATATTATGATTCGAAGCACTGATATTATGGCTCACTGTGAAGGGATGTTCATCAGAGGTTTCTTGTCCCGGTAGTAAGGACGGCGTTCTTGTTTTTTCGTCAACTGCGTCTCGCTAGCTCCGGCGTCCAATCGACCGGTCGGCCAATTGCTCCAGGTGTGCGAGTTATCAATTTTTGGATCTCGTTGCGGCTTTGTGTTTTAGTGGATGTTTATGACGTTAAGTGCACCACAATCGCACACATTGAACACTTTATGGGAGCCATGCCAATGTGCTACTAGGATTAAGTGGTATATAAAGGAGTTATGTCAGATATTGTTAGAGAGTATTCTTATTCTGTCGAAGCTGATGGATTTGGACAGTTTCGCCTACCTAATAACCCCTGAACATCTTTACTGAAGGAATTAAGTACGCGTCTTCTGCTTTATAAATTTAATTAAGCCTCAAGAATATATGATGGCGCTGGTGTTTCGCACTTCTTCGAATCCGACGAGCACGGTCACTGAAATAAATTTTCGTTGTACCACGAAAACCAAGTGGTCAGGCTATGCTGTTTATCACACCAGGGCTAACAATTGTTATATTTATAAGGCGAGCTGTGGAAATTTATCACAATTCTAGTAGAAAACAAGTTTTAAAATGTTCCCTGCTTCTTCTCGACGTTTCGGCTGATAACTAATGATTGTTATACCAACTCCTTGATTTTCGCTGCTATATTAAAAGTTGGCGTCGTTGCTTTTCAGCGTCTGATTTTTTATTGTGCCAAATCTTCAATTTTCCCTGCTGTCTCGAAATTTTGAATTTAATGAAATACCAATTCAAATTTAAAGATGATGTTACAACTATCATCTTCGTTTGGTTCTGTTTAGGTTCGAAAATTTATGTTTGTCATTGTGTTTTTTGGTGCTATTGCAGAAAATTTTGATGTCTGCTCCTTCTTTCTTTTATTACTTCTTGCGAAAACTCACTGTCGATCAGACTGCTGGTTACTACAAAAATAACCGAACTTTTTGGATATAAAATAAAATACACATTATATTATCTTTGAAAGTTATTATTCATTCAAAATAGGTTCCATTTGACTCAACACAACGTTTGGAACGATCAACCAGCGCATGCATAGATTTTTTATGTCATTTATAGAAATGTTTTCAGTACCTCGGTTACGGCTGCTTGAATGGCTGGGATATCATCATTAAATGCTCCCTTCATCTTGGTTTTCAGTTTTGGAAATAAAAAAATAGTCACATGGTGATAGATCAGGCGAATACGGAGGATGGTCGATGAGAGTAATCCCTTTTTCATTTTTTTGGTCGTCATTTAATTCATATGGCAAAATCGCACAGACCTTTCTTTTCCTCAACAACACTCTCGTAGTAAAATTTGCATCGATACCAATGATTTCAAGGACTTTTTCCACCAGTTCAGCACAATTACTAGTTTCTGGACGTCGTGCTCTAGGGTCATTTAAATCCTCACGACCATTTTTAAATCGTGTAAACCACGTATAAACTTGCGTACGACTCATATAATCATCACAATAAACTTTTTTCATTAATTTTTTTTTTTCAAGTTTGACACAAAATTTTATATTTGCTCTTTGTTCCACTTTATTTTTGAACCATTAGCACACTTTTGGTTTTATTGAAATGGCTGTCACTTTTACATCTGTCATCCGACTTACATGATGTTAGGTGCGTTTGAAAGATGAATGTATCTTTTTCAATAGATGGCGCTGTATGTTGTATGATTTAAATATAAAGTTCGGTTATTTTTTGGACACACCGTGTAAGACCACGGAATATTAAAATCGTTAAATATATCGCTAAGCCTTCTTTGCGATCCGAAAATCGTTATACTGTGCTTAGAGAATAGCGAAATCGTTAAAATAATCGTTAAGTCATTTTAACGATCCGAAAATCGTTATAAAACTGGTCTTTCCAACAGCGGGTACTGCATCGAAATTTTTTAAGGCTGGAATTTTGTTATCCATCCTGACATATTTAGCCAGCGTAGTCACAGTCTCTGTCTCTTGATACGCTGGTAATATGGTAATGTTGCCGTATATCTCGTACAGCTCATAGTTCCATCGGCTGCGGTATTCGCTGTTCCCAACCCTATCTGGAATCTCGTTTAGTATGGAAAGGCTCGGAGAGGTCCTTCCCAATTCCGATTGCGCTTGTGGTGTTGTCCATCGTCAGTTTACACAGCGACGAAGAGGTGATGTGTGTCAATTCTCTTTTCACTGGTGTTTTCCAATATCTGCCCAATGGTTGACTTACCAGGTCTAAAGCCACACTGATAAGGTCCAATCAATTTGTGTTGTTGTTGTTGTAACCCCAAAATTATTCCCCAAAGTACTTTTTGGGGAATGTTGCGGGAGTGGCAGTCCTTGGCCAAACAAAAATCCGGGTCGTTCCGGTATAAAGACCCGACTGTCGCGGGAACTATAGGATTTTAGTCGCCTCTTACGACAGGCATGCCTTACCGCTGGGTAAATTCTTGAGCCCCGAACCCGCAGGGGTAAAGCGATGTTGCCAATCCATTTGTTGGGGGTATGCTTTCCTCCGACCATATTCTGTAAAGTAGCTTATGCACGCACCTTGCCAGTTCTTCATCCATGTTTGAACAGCTTTGCCGGTAGCTACAGCCGACTACTTTTTCATAGTCGGGCAATGAAACATTTTTTCCATCGTTATCGATTGGGGAATCGGGCTCGCCAACTCTAGGCGAGCTACTAGATCACCTATTTAGGTCTTACAAGAGTTTTCATTCGTCTTGAAACCTTCTGTAAGTCGCCGTATCCTTTCGTTCTCGAGCATTACTTCTTGTCGGTCAGCTTCTCAAGCTCTTCATACTCACTCATCAAGGCTTTCCTCTTCAATTCTCGGTATTTGTCCCACCAACGCTCGCAGCATTGCGAGGTATGCAGCCTACTTTCCGTTCATTACGGCATGACAGTCGTACCAGCTGTATTTGCGACATTTTGGAAAACCTCCTTTTTCGTAAGGAGCTTTAAATGCCGTCTCACAGTTCCCTTATATCAAGTTGCTGTTGAGTGCTTTTAGAGAGCAGAGAGAGAGAGAATCGAGTAGAAAAGCGTTTGGCTCAGTGTTGTTATTCCAACTTTTCGATTTCGAATCTCATTTGTGTTTGTTGACGGGCGTTTTTGGCAGCCCAAAGGCGGGTGAATGGAGACATGTCATCCGTATATAAATGATGATCATGATAGGTCTGGTTTTGAGCTTTTCAATCTGGAGACAACCAAGTACCAGTTTCCATATTTCCATATTTGATATCAATGCAGTTAGTTTAGATTCTTGGGTTCGGATATAATATTACACATTTTATGTACGAATATCATTTCTCATTTCTATAAATATCTAAACAGAGTTAACTAAAAATATTATAATATGCATTTACAGGAAAGCGGTGTCACCGTAACAACAACAACAATAACAAGCAGTACAACATCGGTAACTAGCGGTACAGATTCATCATCATCCGATTCAGATTCAGATACCGACGGAACTTCTAATGATTCGAAGAAACTGAACGCGCCCTATCCCACATACAAAGTTGAAAATATTTACAAAATTGTAGTCCAAAATTTAGAAGAATGTGTAACCAGATTTCCTGAACACTACAAATCGATTTATCGCCTAGCGTATCATTACAAAAACACACACCTTTCAAATTTTAAAAATTTACAACGTTGCGAAGAGCTGTTGCTGGGACAATATAAAACTAGTTTGGAGAATCAAATTAATGGTGTATTCTATGATAGGAAATGGAATAATATCTTCAATGGCATTTGGCGTATACCATCGTCGGAAATTGATCGGCCTGGAAATTTCTCCTCGCATCTGGTTAAGTGTACAACTATTGCTATTGAATTGTTGTATGAAAATAAAAACCACAAATTGTTAATCGATGTGGGATTACAATTATATAAGATGCCAGAACAAGATAAGTGAGTATCAAGTATTATTCACTCTTATTATAGAGAGATGTTATGACCTAGGGATATACTAGGGATTTCTTTTTTTTTTATACCTTCATATGCATGAAATGGTATATTAACTTTAGTCCACAGTATGTATACAATCGTTTTGTTCATGTATGAGGTTTTAGGTAAAAGAATCCGTCATAAAAGCCTTCAATGGCATTCCGTTTTGTATTATATTCTTCTTTATGAGAATCAATAGAATGTTTTCCAAAAAGAGTTATTATTTTTATATTCAAAGAAAAATGGCGTTACATATTTGAGATAAATGAAACAGATGTTTATTTCAAAGTCAAGAAGAAGATACGTCATTAATAATGGAAAAAAGTTCCAGCCAAATGGCGGTTACAGCTACGCTTACAGAACCGTATCCTTTTTATGAAGCTTTCCAGCAACAAAAGGCAGAGTGGCTATTGTATGTCCTCAATAGCTTTACAAATTCCATCTTCGAGGTCTGTCGGCATAGACCTTATCTTTCACATGACTCCAAAGAAACAAGTCGAAAAGTCATAAGATTTCGGTGGCCAACTGCCCTCACCTCTTGGAGAGATAACACGATACGGAAACTGTTCCTTTTGTTGAATGTAAACGTTGTCCATACCAATACGTTCCAATGCCGGCAATAAAAATTCATAAATTATCTCTCGATAGCATAATCCATTCACCGTAACTGTTGCTCCAGCTTCATTTTCGATAAAGTAAAGTCCAATGACCACGCCGGACCATAAACCGCACCAAACAGTTACACGTTGAGGATGGATAGGATTTTCAACAATAAATCTTGGGTTTTCCGAACCCCAGATACGACTGTTTTGCTTATTAACGCAGCCATCTAAGTGGTAATGGGTCTTATCAGTCAAGATGATTTTTCGATTAAATTCCTGATCATTTTCATACATTTCAAGGATCAAATCATAAGTCCGGTGATCAACGTTATTGATGATCGGCCGCCTTGAGTTTTTGTGTCAACTGAACTTTAAAACCAGTTGCCAGTTGTTCGCCACTTTTAAAGTGAATTTTAATCATTTCAATGAGCTGTTGGAGCTTGTATGGTAAATCACAACTCAAAAAGTGTCATCTAGCGGAATAGCAGACTATTCAAAATAGCAGCTCTTATTGGAAAATCTTTTATTTAATACTAAAATGAAATACCATAAATGATAGATATAAAGATTTCAGCATGACCAAAGAGGCTCTCTTTGTTGTTCAATTTATATTTGAAATGAATGCTCTAGAAAATATAATAACCTGCTGACGGTCTTAAAAATGACTTTATTACTTTAAAGCAACGAAAATACACTTAATTTTTTAATCAACTTTAATCATTTATTCTAACTATTTCCAGACGCTATATAAAAGATTGCGAACGAGTAAAACTATCTCAACAAGCTCTAAATAATTGTGCTCAAATAATGCGTGATATTTTAAAGGCAAATATTGAAAATCGTAATGACGTGGAAATATTAAATCTTTTAATCGACATTTACAAAATTCATAAGAAATGTTTGAAATATATGAATCAAAAGGAATCACTCTTCACAGAACTTATGATCGATGTATATAAATTTTACATACAAGATAAAGTGGAAAATGTGCCAGAGAACTTGAATTTCTTCGATTTGGCTATTAAACTTTGCTTACACGAAATAGCAAATCGTCGTAATCAGGAGAAAAATAATAGCAATGACACTGATTTGTCACAGACTTTATTGGGTCAAATAGCCCAACCATTAATCACCAAGGTAAGTGTTTACATATTGTGATAATCTATAATTAATATTTGTAAATAATCATAACTTTTCTTTCTCAAGCCTAAACAGGTCTATATACCCGGTTTAACAATGCGTCAACGTGGTAGATCAAGTCTAAATAAAAGTATGGAGAGTGGCATTGGTAACGAAAATATACATAACATGAACATGCCAGCTCCAACATCTGCCGGCGAGTCTATTTGGAGTAATTTATTAAGAGGAGATTTGGTGAGTATGAAGAATTCAACTTAATTTTTTACACAGAACTCTCATAATAGACAAAACTAGCAAGTAAAATTATTCATTTACAGTTGTATGGAATAAGCTCAAAATCATTTCCGATTGATTTGGTGTCCAATCGAGGTTTTGTCCCCTTTTTTAAGATATTTGATTTCAACAATATTTCTTTGTCTTTTAAAAGAACTAAACAAATGACGGCATAGTTGCGCTTAATGTAACTGGAAAAAGCGGAGACTATGTTTCAATGAAATTAACTCTATCCTTCTTCTTGAAGCTAAAGTAAAGGTTTTCCTATGAGAGGTGTTATTTCGAATAGCCTAGCATTCTAATAGATGTCACCTTTAAAATTGTATTTTGGCATTCGACAAGTTGAAAATAGAAGGATACACTCTTCAAAAATGATTTCAATGCGTTTCAAATTCGTTATTTAAATTTCATCGAAGAATCGTCTTCGCTGATGATGCCCATTTCCACCTCGGGCACTACGTCAATAAGCAAAACTGTCGCATCTGTGGCTCGGAAAACTAGAAATTTATTGTTGAAAACCCTCTAAATCCTCAACCTGGAACTGTTTGGTGCGGCTTATCGTCCGGCAGGGTCATTGGACATCTATCTAGATAAGATTAATGATTTTTTTATGGCCGGAATTGGATGGTATTTATCTGGACAATATTTAATTACAACAAGACGGCGCTACATGCCACACAAACAACCAAGTCATCGATCTTTTTGAGGGAAATGTTTTTAGACCGTATTATCTCTCGAAGAGGAGATCGCAATTAACCAATGAGATAAAACTCCTCATAATAAATCCATTAGCCGCTCGGCTTTAATTTAGAAGGGGAGCTTGACCAAAAATCGTTTCAGCGATTATAAAGCGTCAATAATAAGTATATATATATTTCATTGTCACGCAAATTACATTACGAAAATTAACACCATATCTGATTCTAACTAAAATATTTATTTTCAGCTTTCATTAGAGATGCAGCAGATACTGGATGCTTCCAAGCAGTTAATTGAAAGCAAACAACACGATGTAAGCGATTATTTGCAATTTATAATTCATTAATATTTTATTAATGTGCCGTTATACATTTAATTTTGCAGCCGTTTTTCATGAAAGAAGTCTTAGAGCAATATAAATCCATGTTTCAAACTATGCAAACTAATCCAATAACTGGTACTCCAATTCCCTCCGTCATGGCGCCGCTTCCTCCTGCATCTACGAATCCAGTATTTTCTTCAATGAATAGCATTCCCGCAATTGTACCGAATCCAATATACCTCTCAACTTCGTTACCATTGGAAACTACAATAACACCATCGATATCGAAGAATCCTCAAGAGGCAACATCCAACCTGACATCGATTAGTACTTCTCAAGCACTAGCTAATTATGACATAACAATTACACCCTTCAGCAACATGAACACATCGTTGCCACTGAACTTTCCAGTCGTCTCCACCACTGCTGGTATAAATACTAAACCAGCAATGTCATCAACCAACGTCAATCCTACAGATTCGCTTATGACCTCACCTTTTATGTACAATGCATGTCCCGTCTCAACTGTACCATCACACATACAGCCAACAAACTTCGCAACAATGACCTCGAGTAGCAGTGGTAGTCCAACAACACAAAGTAAATCGAAAGGATCAGTTGTCAAAGTGGGTAAACAGCCTAATGTCGTGAATGCGCCAATTGTAAATCCCTTAACCGTTACTCTTGGTTGCAACGACATGTACAATCAACAAATGCAAATATTTATGAATCTAATGCAAGATGCTAATACCTTCCAACCTACACAGCAACAACCACAACAACAACAACCCCAACAACAGCAACCACCACCACCACCGCCGCCAGCAATGCAATCACAACAAAATTTTCCTATGCCAACCACGCAACAGAAGCAACGTACTGCCACCAAGCGGAAGTCTAAGCAAACACTACCCGTGAACACCATAAATTCAAATACTTTACCAAATACTCAGCAAATGGTTAAACAAGAGCCTACTAGCTCACCAACGACCATAATGGTTGGTGAAAATCATCCGCTATTTTGTCCTACTTTGGATGCAACCAATGCAATGAAACAATTCGCGGTAAGTCCTCTTCCATTATCAATCGGTTCAACGGTACCGCAAGCAGTAACATTTTCACAGCCACAGAGCTCGCCGCAAAGTGTAGCTGGCAGTCAGCCAACGACGCCGACTAAAACTTTACAACAAAAATTGGCCGAGCGTAAAAAAGCCAATCAACAAAATGAAACAATGAACTTGTCTAATTCTAGTTCAAAAAATAATACAGAAATTATAATTTTAGACTGATAGTAAGGACTATGTATTGAAATAAAAATGAAAATCATAAATAAAATACAAATCAATTGCATATACTGGATTTGGCGAATTTTGAAAAATCTATATTTTAAATTTATTTATGCTTACATTAATTGTTATTGTTAATCATTACATACGTAGTTGAATAATATGTATTATATGTTAATATTTTATATATGTATGTACTATATGTGTATAGGTATAAAATAGTTTGCTGCAACTGCACACTTCATTCATTCATCTGCAGCAAAGAGTTTATTGTTGCATCCTTATTCCCATTGTTCGCTTCAAATACAGATTTGACAACTTCTTTGTCGATATTTGGAAACATTTCGTGTATCTGCGTATGAAAAAGTTAAAATTTTAAAAATTTTAAATCCCTCTGAAATGTCTTGACAGATAATTTTTGAACAATTCTAGATAATACGAAAATAACCATAAAAATCTGGAGATGTGTTTAAAGGAAAAGGTGAAGTTTGTTTTCTTTGATTACTATGGCGTGGTGCATCATGAGTTCCAGCAGTTAATCAGGAATACTACAAGGAAGTTATGATCGGACTTGTCGAAAAACAAATCGTGGTTTCTGTCGTCAATGCTTAAACGTGATTTTGTTGGATAAATACAAAATCGCGCTTCAAGAACCATGATGAATATTTATTCATTTCATTTTTTAAGAAAGTTTAAAATTCCCCTTTTGCTATGAACACACCTAGTATGTATTAGTTTGCTGATTACGCCTTTCGCGTACCTATGTACATGCTAGACGTTCATTGATCAGAAAAAAGATACTTATGTTTAAGTTTGCGGTGTTAAAAGCAAATGATTGTTGATTTTAGCTAATTGTATGGATTATGGAAAAGGGGATGCTTAGAAGAATTACATGCATATTTAATACGTACATATATACATATGTTTCGCAGAAAACACATTCTATTCCCATGCAGTAGTCAGATTTAGACGATTCAAAAAATGAATTTTATTTCTTAAATCCATTCTAAAACTATCTAAGAATTTGTCTTCAAAATTTCAGTGGCCGTTTCGATATATTTTAGAAGCTAGGGCAGTTTTAATGGCCGAGCGGCAATCAGGCTCGAATGTTCGGGCAGAACTTTGAAGAAAGGACAATATTTTTTCTTTGAAACTTAAATAAACTACATTATTGCCTAAAAATTTCGTTTACCGCAATAATTTCCTTCCCTTTCAAAAAAAAAATTACTGAAAAAACGTTTTTTCGGGTTTCAAAGGAGACTACTGCCTTAAGGAAGACTGTGATTCAAAAGAAGAAGTTTTTTATGTTCTGCTTCAGGTGAAAATGTCAATTTTGAATATTTTTAGTTGTGATGTTTTTTTTAATTAGCGGCGAAGTAATATATATATATTAGGGCGACCGCATTTGTCAAATGTTAGCAGTTCGTTCTCATACTCAGAAGGTCATGTGTTTAAATTACGGTAGGCCTTTGGCTGCATATTTTAGAAAACCATCAAAACGCACATCACAAATGCCAGATACTATCCATATAATATAATATAATTTATTTTGCCTCAAACTGTGAATATAAGAACGGCATTTTATTTAGTATCCCAAAAGCCAATACTAGATTCTGCGTTAAAATATTTAATATTAAAATAGATTCAGAAGTAAGCTTAACGAAATTCAATTAGTCAACGTTTAAGAGAGGTATTAGCACCACCGTTTGAGTTTTTATACTCACTTGTTTGAGTTCTTCTTCGGACAACTGTCGCGGTGCTGGCGGCATCACCGTATTTGTAACTGGCGGTTGTTGAGGTGTGACAAATATTGGCATTGGTCGACCCGGGGGCACCATTAACATTGGCGCACCACCACCCATTGTTTGGTACATGTACGGCTGCATTGGTTGATTTGAAAAGCTTAGCACGATATCAATAGCACCCTCAAGACCATCACCTTGTTTACCACTTAGGGGATACCATTCTTCGTGTGTTTCGCCACGCATCACACTTTGTGGTATTTTAATTTCACACCAAGCAATCAATTCATCCATTTTGAAACTACATTCATCATAAATTTCAATAAATATCGAATTAACACCTGCCGCCAATTGGCTTTGTATCTCACGATTCCAATGTGGATGTTTGCCTCCATTGGGATCTGTTTGCGTTTCGTATACAAAGTGGCCGACTCGTATACGCACATAAGGATCCATTCGGGTAATTCCATAGTTTCGTGCTAATTTCGCTTGCGCACAAGTGATGCTTAAACGGCCGACATAATTAGGTGCCTTTAAACAAAGGAAAACATTAAGAAAAAAACAGAAAAAAATATACAATCGAATAAAAGCAAAATAATCAAATAAAAATTGAATATCTTTACTCACAACATATTGCGGATACGCTTGTTGTTGGTATACTGCGGCTGCTGCTTGACAGTCTGCAGCTACCTGGGCATCAACGCCGCTGTTGATACGTAGAAAATCGTTGGGCAGTGGACCAACCATGGCCTATCGAAAAAATATCATATTTAATTAAAATAACAGTTTAGCAAATTACTAACATTTCTCAATAATACATATGTATGTATTTGTGAATATATAAGAGTATTAAAAACCTTTTCGCATTAATTAGCGATACTAAGATGCCGATAGTTTACTTATTCAATTATTGCGGTGTAAATATGAATATGTATGTAATGAGGAAACTACGTATCAATATCTAATAAATTGGAAAACAAGCTTTAGCCAAAAATCCAATGAGCCAATCTTCTCTTACTTACAGCAGTTACGTTTTGCAAGGAGTACATTTTCTGATTACTTTTTTAATAGGAACACGTAGTGCCGACAAATTTCTTGTTGTTTTTTATACGTAAGTGATGCAAAGACAAAAGCCGCAAACGAATCTTTTTATTGATGGAAGCCTTATAAGTTACTTAGTTAACTTAGAGAATTCTAAAAATTATATTTCCTATTTATTATTATATTTAACTTCTTATCATACGACTCTTGAGTAAATAATCTTGCAAAAATTTTCAAAAAATACATAAACATATGTATGTATGTACGTGTTTTTTTATTTATTTATTTTAACTGATCAAAATCACCTTGCGCCAACGACTTGAACGTGTTTCGATTTCTGAATTTGCCATTATGAACCGCTATCCTTTTTGTTGAAAATTCTACTAGAAAATTACTACCTCTCGACAACTATGAGTTTTATTATCAACGACAAAAGAAATTCTATTGACAAGTATTGACTGACTAATAAAATGTTTGCAGAAAAAATTAATCATAAGATAGACACAGGGTGATTTAAGTAAGGATTATGATTTTTTTTTTTTTAATTTTAATATCACACTGTTCAAATTAACAGCTGTTTTCCGCAACAACAACAAAACGGCTGTTCATTTTCATATGTTACCTCTCATTCAGCCGCATTAGATAAGATTGGGAAAGGAAAACATGCCGTTGTCGGAAATTGTGAGTGGTTTATCAACAAATCCTTATTTCGGAGCAGGTTTTGGCCTTTTCGGTATAGGCGCTGCTGCTGCTATCTTGCGAAGAGGTTCACAAGGTGCTTTAATTCTATTCAGACGGCATATGATGATTACGTTGGAAGTGCCTTGTCGCGATAAGTCTTATCAGTGGTTATTACAGTGGATTACTGTGAGAGGAGCTAAGGAGACGCAACATCTCAGCGTAGAAACGTCATTTATACAAAAAGAAACTGGCCAAATACGTACTAAATATGATTTTATACCCAGCATTGGTAAACATTTAATGCGCTATAAAGGTATTTGGATTCAAGTAGAACGAACGCGAGAACAACAAACATTGGACCTGCATATGGGTGTGCCATGGGAAAGTGTTACTCTAACGGCATTTGGTCGGAATAAGCAATTATATTTCGATATACTTGAAGAAGCACGTTTACTCGCACTGGAAGCGACGGAAGGTAAAACGCTTATGTATACTGCTATGGGTTCGGAATGGCGTCAATTTGGGCATCCGCGTCGCAGGCGCCCGTTATCATCAGTTGTACTAGAAAAAGGTGTCGCCGAGCGAATTGTAACTGATTGTAAGGAATTCATTGGAAATTCACAATGGTATATCGACCGTGGAATACCATACCGGCGTGGCTACTTACTGTACGGACCACCAGGCTGCGGCAAATCTAGCTTTATTACAGCCCTAGCGGGTGAATTAGAATATGGTATTTGCTTATTAAATTTATCCGAACGAGGTTTAACCGATGATCGGTTAAATCATCTTTTGAACGTCGCGCCTGAACAATCAATCATATTGTTAGAGGATGTAGACGCCGCTTTTGTTTCACGTGAAGATGTAAAACAACAGGCAGCAGCATATGAGGGACTTAATCGCATCACATTTAGCGGTTTGCTTAACTGTCTAGATGGCGTAGCTTCCACAGAAGCACGTATTGTATTTATGACAACAAATTATTTAGAACGTTTAGATCCAGCTCTAATACGTCCCGGTCGGGTTGATGTAAAAGAATATGTTGGCCACTGTGATACACATCAGCTGGAGGAAATGTTTCTACGTTTCTATGGGAAGCAAGAAAATTTGCCACAAAAAGCTGCAAAGGAATTTGCAAAATGTGTATTAGCAGATGGCCGTAAAGCCAGTCCCGCACAAGTCCAAGGTTATTTTATGCGTCACAAAACTGCCACAATCAATGAGGTGCTAAGGCATACCGCTGAAATATGGGAAGGTAGCTTGTCTACAGCACTGCAAGAGGAACCAGTTACTGTGAAAGCAAGCGCAGCGTAGATACATTTTACAAACTTTTGAACGGAAGCGTACATTTAAAACCTGTTAACTTAATTCATAAAAAAAAAAATTGCCAATATAATTCACGTTTAAAAAATAAAATTTAATTTCTTTATTTTATCCTACTGATAAAATTTAAATTACTTAAAACTTATTTACAAAAAATAATAACTTTGAAGAGATATAGCCAAATGTATAGTTCATTTTTTATGAGTACATACTTCTTTTCTACATCACTATGATTTGAGATAAAATATCTGTCATGTTTCCGTTTGTATGGCTTCCACGTCGGAAACTTCTACATTAACCGGACTATCAGTGCATTCTTGTACTTTCCGCCGTATGTCCGAGCGACACATTGGGCAAAACTTTAATTGCTCAGTACACGTTACGCAAAACCCCCTAAAAAATATCAAGCACTAAGGTAATAATTACTTAGTTATAAGATGATATATCTTTGTGTTACCTGTGTGAGCATGGCTCCAATCGCATAGTAGCCTTTTTGTCAAAACAGAGTGTACAGGAATCGTCGCGTACACTTACTTTTCTTAACATATCTAAATAAATATGGCGTGGCAAAATTATCTGTAAAATAAGATGTATTGACTTCAAAATTGTAGATTATTTGCTGTCATTTTTATTTATATTTACCTTGTCACTTGAACTAAGCATTCCACTTTCATTAAAATTGGTAAATGCTCTTTGTGGTGGATATCGAAAAGGTTCCAGTCCAAAATTAAATCTACATTGTTGAAATGACATAAAACTTGCGGCAGCAAAGAATCCTTGTCTAAAAAATAATTATTGTTTAGAGCCGGAAATAACTGTTTCTGCACTTCTCATACTTAACACTATTAAATATGTGTCTATAGGGATCAGTCGATTCTCCATCAAGTGTAAAAATAACTTCTTGCTTTTCTAAATCAAGTAAGCATCCTAGAATCGAACCACTTTTCCATGTTGGCAAACTATGTGGTATAGATTTGGCGTTGTGCCATATTATACGCCGGCAACCGTCAAATCCTATGGAGTATTTATCGTCACCTATACCGTATCCGTCGTCACTTAAAAAGCTTGACTCCTTTGTGGCCCAACCAATTTGCATTACACCGGGTGTTATCAGCAGAACTTCGTAATACCAACAACCCTTGGTTATCTGAAAATGTACCAGTTCGATCAACATTCTCAAATAGTGAATGCTTTTATCAATTTCTTACTTGGAATGTGCAGCGTACACTTTCAAACGTGTAAGCATCACAACGTGCTTCTAAACCATCTGCTGATATTTTTAAATATTCACTAACATCCTTTGTATTAAGCATAGCGTTAATTTTTGAAACGTCGGTGTTTTCATATGAATATTGTCGCCCACTTACTGGAACTGTTAAAGAGAAAGTCACCATCATATAATATTTCTTTTCAAAAATTCTACCTACAGTAGTTGTCCAAACACCAACAAGCACAAAATCCTATTTGTCGTAGCAGGAAACTTGTTGACAACACATATTCTTCTAATGTTAGAAACGGGCTCTGCTTCATATCTTGCAATGTTTTCTAATTGAAGAAAAAATATATATGAATCAAATGGATTTTTGAATATACCTAACTTACCTGTATGGTAACTTTATTTTCACTTGTCTGTGCAAATTTTTCGAGCGCTATTAACGAAAGAAGTTTTACATTCGGTTCGATGTCTTCATTTAAATTACTAATCAGGTACTTTAACATGGAATTGTTTAGTAATGCAATACTGCTAGGACCTGCCAATTTTTCTGCTAAGCAGCCAATTATAACACATAAGTTTCGTTCCTTGCGTAGATTATTTTTTAAACCATATTTTGGTGCTACCATTTCGCCAACTTTTAATACAGACTCTTTTGTAGGCAGTGGACTATCATCAAGAAGTAAGGCTATCACACTGGGACCCATGGGATGTTCGACAGGAACAACTCGCATTAATGACCGCACAAGTTCTATCCAACCAGCGGGCTTTTCTGTTATACTGTGTAGCATTAATATGGAATTGGGCGGTTCTGGCTCACTAAAAATAAAAAAATATTTTTTACTTTGAACTTATTTGAATAAAAAGGGTATGTACTTGTCAATCATTGTACTAATAACATCTAGTGTTTCGCGTACTAATTTATCAACAGTATCGGAGAGTGTTTTAACAGAGGCACTTGTCTGCAGCACTTCCGGATTACGGTATGAGTTTCGTAGTGAACCTCTTGCATGCCGTTGTTGTGAACGCCCAACACCCGTATCATTGTCCTCTTCACTATCGTTTTTATCTTTACACAGACAGGAGCCCATTATTATTTTCAGCAAAAGCCTTTACATCCCCATCCATCGGAACATCGGTAACAAATCTGTGTAAAAACGCGTCCACAAAGTTTATTTTTTTCAATTGATCAAGAAACTGAAATGCAATAAATCCGCAATGCAAGAAAAACAAAGATTATTCCCTCTAATGTATTTATCGATTGCATTCATCGATTTCGATAATATGGAGTTAGGGCAGGTCGTCTACAGTATGTAATTAAGGTTTTACATAAAGAAGTTTATAAAATTTAATCAACTTAAAAAGAATATAGATTTTGATAAAACGAAATATATTAATCATCGAATGTATAATTTTCATTACTTTATCAAATTATTTTGTGGAATAAATGTACAAGTCTCATAGCAAGTTTAATTCTTATGTCAGAAGCACGTAAAAACAAATAAAATGTGTGAATTATGAATTAGAAGCGGCATAACGTTATCATCGTTTCTTAATGCCAATACACTGATAAATTTAATCATTTCGGTACATTTGTTTATAATATGTTTAAAAATAAAATTATTATTAATTATATTCACATGCAAATAATTCCCTGCAAACGTTGTATATTAACGTTTAATTACATACATCAGAAATGGTTAACAGCTCTTTATTTTCTGTTTATTTCTATGTTTTTTAAGTTTAACATCATTTTTATTCATTTGAAGTATATTACATTCATCACAAAGATTTGGAAATCTTTTATCCAAAATAATAAAAGTTAGAGGGTTAATTCCGGCGCAGCATAAAAGAGTGCGTCAAATCTTTCATACAAATGGCAACATCATTAGCGCACTTATTTCACACCACCCTTTTGATATCACATATGTCTTCCAATATTCATTTTTGGAATGCAAAGAAATTTTTGGGTGCTTACTTTATATTGAAAAGCACTGTAAAAGGCTGTCGAATTTTTAATTTGTAGTTATGAAAAAATGTATTGGTGAAGAAAAATTAAGAATATAAGCCACACATGAGCTTATAAAATATATTTTGTGAAAATTAAAATCAAATGATTGAAAAACCTGCTGCTGCAAACGCTTTCCCCAATAGTAGGAACAGTTCAAACCGATTGAGAATAGTTTTCATTTTGTTGCGGCCATATTTGTGAGCTCCGTATTTAGCTTGTGATTGTTCGTTTTCAAGGGGAGTGGAGCACATATAATCCTTTGTACACTCTGCGCATGGCAAGCGCGCTTATATTTTCACAAGTAAGGATTTTACGGATTTAATAGGTTCCAATTGCAGCAAAGTCCAGTGGCGTTTCCTATACAAAGCTATCGTCTACACACACAAACGCATTGAAGCTATTGGAAATACAAAAATCCTGTAAGTTGCAAGTTTAGAATTGTGAAAAAATTAAGCAAAGCGGGAAAGTTTAGTAGGATAGTAATTCAACAATATTTTTTTAAAAATTATTTATATATGGTATATAGCCTCGCTGTATTTAACTTCCCTAAGTTGGTAATTTAGTAGCATTAATGTGCCAAAACACATCTCAAAGACTGTTAAAAAAGTTGATGGGTTCTCACCATCATCTATTTTACGTATATACATATAATGGTAGAATAACTTTAACATATTTTCTTACTGCTCTGCTCTTCCCAAAAAAAATAAGTAGTAAATAATCTGAATAACGAACGCAATGAAATGTGTTTAATAAAGTTTTAATTTTTAACTTAAAAAATTTCTTCCACATGTCTTTGTTTAGATTCTAATCTAATTTTTTTCTATATTAAATTGAGTATAATCTTTCTCAATTTATTAAAAAAATAAATAAAAAAATTTAATATAATAAAAATTTAATATCTATTTTAATTCCTTAAAATAAATTCAAAGATCTGATCAAATATAATCCGAAATTTATATATACATATGTATATATTTACAAATGTGCATACATATATATGTATGTATATATTATATATAGGTACCAGCTCTAAATCTACTATTGTCGGTACGCCCATTGCCATGAAATCTATTATTATTATTTTATTTAATAAATTCCCAATATTATAAAAGAAAATTATGTTAGAGGTGCTGCTTCAAAGAAGTTACATTTTTGTTATCTAATAACTTATTTGGTTGTGGCATTTGTTGTAATGAATTTCCACAGCAGTATGTGATTGATTTTAAATACCATTTTCAATTTATAAAAGAAAGTTTTCTCCTAACGAATTACCACTGGAAAGCATACTAGTTTTCAACGGCAATTTAAAGTTTTACTACAAGCTATATTATTTATTTGCATTAATATTATAAAATGAATACATTAATTATTAATATTACTATTTTTAATAAGTGAAAATGGTTATATATTGATGATTTTCACTATAAAATTTCCATTCAAGATGCGCAATCCGTATATATATATTTGTTACCGGACTAATTATTTCAAAACATTTAATACGATTTTAAACTCTTTATATATTCGAAATCCTCGACACATGGAAAATATAACATAGCCCTAGAAGAAGAATATAGTACGTCACCAAGACGTCCCAAAAGGAGAACAGATCCTTACCGCCTCTAAATACCTAATTTAATGTTCAATAGGATATCCTTCTGCCTGCAATAGAGAGTAGTACCACACATATTTGTGTGAAAGCTATCTACCGCTGTAATTATTTTAAGAATAAAAAATGGTAGTTTTCTCTAACACCCAATGATATACTTATATTTTGGTGTTTATATTTAATGTCGATTTTTTTACGAATTAATTTTTATAAGTAAGTTTTGGTTTTTCAGTTAAATAAGATTATAGAAGATTTGTGTTTTTGTAAATACTGCCATTTTCTTCTTTTTAGCTACTCGATTTTCCCCCGCAGCTTATTCATTATTTATTTTATACTTTCTCTTCTGATATGACATTCTACATTCTCACAAATAGTTAATTATGCGCTAATCTGAAACTTCCAAGTTCTCGAAAAAGAATTACTATTTAGGATTTTAGCAGGAATACTTATAAAGAGATGTAGATTAATTATCTGTTATACTCTCTTTCCCTCTCTCTCTCTGATTAACTCTCTACGCAGTTAAATAAATTAAAAATTTGTAATCAACACTTCCACAACTCAACCCTCTGAAAAAACTGATAATGGGACAACACCAACTTAATGCCATTATAAAATATTCTTCATATTCTCACAATGACATAACATTTATTGGAATGCAAATCACATATAGAAACACTATCAAGAAAAATAACTTAGAGAACACTGTTTTTATACTAATGGAAAACAATTTTTTATTAAAGACGTGAAGCAAAATTAATATTATGTATCATGTTCAAGATGTACTGGTATGCATGTTTATTAAAAAAGAAACATTAGCTTGGGTTTTACTTGGTTCTGAAATTTTTAAAAGATTTGTAATAGTCACTTCTCTTTATTTTCTTTTTTCAGTAAGACATGGATGAACAGGAAGAGGTCCAACAAAATATGATATCGAATTTACCCCTATTATTTGCTAACGGTTATCCAACATCACTGGATAAGATAACAGAATCACAGCTTGAAAAATTCATACCGTTTATGGTACGTTGTTCGCTTGGTCATATTAATTTTCAAGAAAAGACAGACTGCAGTGAGCCAGAATGGTGGCCTGAAGATTTCCCATTCACCATACCATTTACGAAGCCGAAAAAGTTTACTGGGGTAACATTTTGATATTAAGTGTTTTTGGTAATATTTAACTACTTTTTTTTATTTATTATCATTAACAGAATTGGGCACAAAAAATGAAGGAAATCATTATAATATGTTATCAATTTCACAGAAGCGTTTTCCTACTACGCTTTTGCAACGATTTGGCCGCTTATGAGCATGCGAGTCTACGCTTTATAAATAATTATAATTCAACAACGTCGTTGTTTGAAAGGCGCAGCAATAAATTACTGGTGACATTTAGAAATGAAAATATGGTAAATATAATGATTGAATATTTGTTAAAAGTAATGGTATCACTAAATTATATTACTAGTCATATGATCAACCACAACGCAGTCGAAAATGTTTAATGCGCCAAAAATCAAAAAGCGGTAATCAAGGTCGAGCAGATGCTGAACAAATAATGGTGGAACCTGCACCTTTCGATATATATTTGTGCGACAACTGCGATGCGGAACTTTATTCGAAAGAAGCTATATTGGTGAGTTAAATGAAGAAATGATATTTAAAATAAATATCCTAAGAAAATTAAGGCATTTTTTAAAGGTAATTGTCTGATTTACAATCTTCTGTCTGAAATAGGTTGCTGTAAAAATTCTATTTTTGTATAAGGTGTTTTGAAATTATGACATCTATGAAAAATACCACGAAATATTTAATTTCAAAAATATATTAGTTTAATATGCTAGCTACAACAATATCCTGTTCGTGTTTCTAACTTTATTATTTAGGTGAAAAACTATAAAAAAAATGTACTTTTATTGCGCTTTTTTATCATTATGGCAAAATAGCTAAATTATAGTTTTTTTTGTATATAGTGGCCACCTTGCGCCATTTGAAATTGCCTACAATTAGGCGCAATGTGCCAGAGAAAACGTGGAAAAGAATCAAAATCTATTATATATATTATTAGTAGTATACTTAGCTTTCACTGAAAATATACTCAATAAAACTTTAAAAAAATTTAAGCTCCGAAAGAATTTAACTGCAATAAATAATTACCTTAAAAATTGTTAATAGCTAAGTTCTTAAACTAACGCATCACGCTTTGCGTATTTAATTAAATTGATTCCGATTAATTATAGAGCTTATTTTATGTAGGGTCGATTTAAAATTACTCTCGTATACTTCTATTAATTTAGGGTTAAATATTTCATTATTTTTTACTTCTAAGTTGAGAACCGTCTACCTCTCGAAATTATAGTCCAAAAGAAGCACCTATAAAACTGTATACTCGAAATCCTTTACCTTATCAATAAAATATTAGCTATCCCCATTTTACGTGCCTATACGGTGAGAAATTGTATGCTTATAAATGCAAAATATTTTTTACAGTATTTAAAACTGGCTTGTTTAAACTCTTCTCTTAAAGGAACACGAAAAGACTTGCAATGTTGAAGATGATGACGACGATGTCATTTTATGTGATACACCTGAACCTCTGGAGAACACTATACAGCCAACGGATTCCAAAAGGAATTCAGAGGACAATGAGCTTCGTAATCTATTCCTACTTAATTTTAACCTGCAATGTCGTGATGATAGTAAAAATGGTAAAGTTCAATTTACGAGTGAGCCGTCTAGTGCATCAAAGGATGCAAAAGATGATAAAAGCGGATTTATGATTATTGACAAAAACAAGCGTATGCCACGACGAAATCGTGCAGTACATTCATTGGCACGTTGTGCCACAATACCATTATCATCACCTGCTGGTCAGCTTTTACTGCGTACCACAAAAACTGCCATGACACCGGAATATTTAACAGAACGTCTCGATCGCTTGGAACGTTTTTGTTTTGCACCGCTGCTCTCAAAATCACAATCAAAACCAAAATATTTTGAGAAAAAACATACATTTAATAATACACATTGTACATTTAAAAAGCCACAAGAATACAGTTCCCATGTATACGTTTTTCCACGACGGCAATTTTCCCAGCGAAGACGTACAGAAAGTTTCCTCTTCCTAAACTCATCGCTAATAAGACGGTGTCGCCCGATTTCAGTGCGACTAAAGAAAATTACCGATAACGAGGTAAAAAGTCGACGCTCATTACCAAATACAAAACTTAATATAAAACTAACACGAGACGCTACACGACGTTCCAATTGGAAAATATCCTCACCATCTACAGAAATCATTGTCGACACAATTGATTTGTGTTCATCGGATGAAGACGAAGGTCGTAGTAATAGCGAGAGCCGAACACAAGTTATGCTGCACAGGCGATCTGAACCCGGCACTGGGCTTGAAATAACACGAAGATTGATAAATACATGTAGTAGCAATAACAATGCCACATCAACCTCAGCGAAAAGCTCGCTAACAATCAGCAGTGGCGGTATTAAACAGTTAAGTCTTAATACAACTGAAGTTTCTATATTTCCTATTCGTAAATCAGCGCGTAATAATGGACCCGTCAAAGGTCCAGATAAGCCACAAATCAAAAGTGCAATTGCAGCAGCACTTGTGAGTAATCCTCGTATGTCCTCAGCAACAAAATCAACAAGTTTAGTTGTGAATAATTCCTTAACATCAGCAACAGTAGCTGCTATTAACACACCCGCAATACAAGCTACAGAGAGTACTAAAACTTCCACAATCGGCATAAATGCATTATTAACTGCACCAACAACTGCTGCAATATTTTCTACACCAGAACATGGTATAACATTACCTAAACCGTTGCAACCGTCAGTGTATATATTTTCAAATTATACCGCTAATACATTGACACCAACAACAGCAACAACTGCAACAGTGCCAACAAATAATGAGATTACAGGTCCAGTTGCTGGAAATTCATTCAGAAATCAAAATCAAGAGAATCGTGCACAAAATGGTGCTCACACCAATACAAACGCAAGTGCAGGACTTGTTGTCAAACACCAAATATCAAATAGTAATACAGCAACGCCGCCAATGATAACACCCGATTGGTATCCGGAATTGAATACTTTAGGTACGAGCTCAGCTGCTGCTACCCTGAATAATGCAAAGCAAACGACAACGCACTTGGCGGAGCGGGAACGTGCGCGTAGCCTGTCTTTGGTTTCGCCAAGTCGTGTTATATCAATTGATCTGACCTCTTAATTATACCTATGTAGCATAAGTATATATATGCTAGCATATATCTATATATCCTTATTATTATCGTAATTAATATTATACGTTTATAAATTTCTAGTTTAAATTTATATTTCATTAAAAAAAAAAATGTAGTAGTGTTCAAGATCCATTCACACACTTTATCAACCATTTATGTGTGTACATACGTAAGGCATGATGGCTAAAAGATGTACCTTTGTACAACCTTTGTTTGTACATATGCATAATAATTACAGAAATGCAGTTAGCTAAAATGAAAGAAAAACTAATATATTTCTTACATAAAAAGCTCATTAATTTATTTTTGCTTAGTTGGTTTGTTTTTTTTACAACAATACCATTAAATTATTAAAAATATAAATCTAAGTATCTTAAAAGACTCGGCAGGCTCGGACAAATGCGGTAATCATTGTCCGGATTAAAAACTAGTTAATTATTCCTCCTTTTCGAATTGAATACACTCATGATTGTTAATCGTCTAGGTAGCGCCACTTTAAATGTTGTTTTTAGTGCTTTCAGAAGTTTCCAAATATATATTTTGTAAAACTTGATATGTTAACTTATTTATAAAACCAAATGTGTAGTGGACATGCTAAAAATTCTTTCAAAAACCCATATGTTGGTTAATAGTAAAATGAATTGAAAATTGATTTGCAAGTTATTAATATAATTTTAAGAAATCCTTCAAGCCTTCCATAGGTACAGATACAAAGTTAAGTTGCAATACCTTTTCTTAAACAATAGTTGGAAAAATATGCTTTACCATTATATTTATGTATGTATAATTGGCACTTTATAACGGCTGAATCGAGACTAATAAATATATTCATAAAATTTTAAGAAGATCTAACATTTTCATATAAAGTATTTGACGAAAATAGAAAAAATAGAAAAGAAAAACTAATATTAAAACCTTTCCGACTTTGTACAATGTAATATATCAATTTTTTTTTTTTTTTTTTTACAAAATTACAAAAGATTTAACTATTTGTCCAACATAAATAAAATGTTTGTCCAAAACACATCAGACCAACATCTCCGGCCAATATAAATAATAAAAACGTCACTTTTTTACATTTGTTTTTCTAACATTTTGTTGATTTTTGTTGATTTATATTGCATAACAAATTACTACTCCAATTATGAAAGCGTAGTGGTACGCATGAAATTCTAAGCTTTATCCTACAGGTAATAAGTAATTTTTCTTAAAAATGTTCAAACATATTTAAGTAAAAATATGAAATTACTAAAAACAACATTGAAATGCGATATTTGTTTTCCAATTTTTGAGACTTTAAGCACTTAAAGTTAAAAGATAATCATTAAAGTACTATTATCAAAAAATATAAATGTAAATATGTACATACAGAAATATACATAATAAATTTTATATATAAACATAACTACATTATAGCAATATAAAACAAGACTAAACGCCAATCGAACGTACATAGAGTACTTTTTATTGGGCGATACCGAAACAAAGCCTGCATACTTACTTACTTTGAAATCAGTTGAGTTGCTAATTTTAAATGTTTCAAATTCGCAACCTTTTAAGCAAAGCGATGTTGTAAAAAAAATTGATATTTGATATTTATAAAAAAAAAATAAATAAATACACATTAGTTACTTTGTTAGCTTTATGAAAGTTAAAAATCTGAATTTTTTTTTATTTCAATTCATATTTTTCTTTACATATTCTTATATATACATATATATTTTTTGGCACTTTCATGAAAACAACATAAATTAGTTTTGTATGAAAACTGACATAAAATTGAAATCATTTAGTTTCTAAATTGATAGTAAAACCGGTTGTAAATGCTTTTCTTTCAATTCAATTATTTTTATATATCCCGGGAGCAAAACCTAAAAAAATTAATTTTTTTTTTTAAATTTGAATAAAACAATGTTATCCTTTACAATAATTGTTATAATTATTTTATATTTAAATTATTCGCATCAAAATATATGTATTTGTTTCAGCAACTCGCTTTAAAATGATAATCACAAATAGAATATTTAATATCGTGGAAATATGTTTTTATAAAATCTGCGTAAAGAGTTTTTGTGGCTGAAAGTAGGATATCATATTTGGTTTCAGAATAAGTAATTAAAAAAGAAAACCATTAGTGATGAGTGGCTTTTGCATGAGCGGGTAATATGAAATTTGCACCTTTGCATCGCATTATTAATTTTCTGGCTTAATTTTTTTTATTTATTAGATAGTAATATAGTTTCCTCTCTATAAAGTAAGCGCTAAGCTAGTTGAGTTAGCATTATATGTTTTAACTATGTTTAATTGTTGAAAAACGTGAAACATAATGTTTTCAGAACACTAGATTGTTATATGGTGTGTGACTAGGCTTTTAATCCCTATGTAAGTAAGTTTCTTTAGTACGAACATTAAATTATCATTTACGTATTATTTTGTATTTGAAATACTTAGTAATAATAATTAACATATGTATATATATAAAATCAATTTCGGTCCAGATAAGTGGAAGAGTTATTGATCCTAAACAATTTTAAAGAATTAACGATAATTTCCCTTCATTTTTTGTTAACTAAGCATTACAGTATTTGGAATGAAGTTGTTATTGTTATTAAATTAGTTTACGATATTATAATTATTATTATTATTATTTAATTAGAACAAATTTTAATGTAAATTTTTTTTGTTTAACCCTATTTTCGTTTTATTTCAATTTTCTTTATTATTTGTATTTAATATAATTTTATTATTTTTTAATTTCCGTAACAATTGCTTTGAAACCAAGCTAATGTATATGTAAAAAACGTATGTTTAAGTAAATAGTGTTTATTATAATTCACTAAACAGGAAGGTGTTAATTCTTCATTCTTATTTTAATTACTTAAAAAAAATAAATTTATATAACGAAAATATCAGTAATATGTATGATTAGAAATTCCAAGATTAAATATTGATAATTTAGTAATTTTTATTTTAATTTGTGTTTTCGAAATTCAAATTGGAACTATTTTTTTACCATACCTTGTAATATTTTTTTTTTATTAAACTAAACACTGCATACAAATATTTATAGCTATGATTAGGAAATATTTAATAATAAACTGCGTGTATACAAAGGAAAATTGAATAAATAAATAAACTGCGAGTATTGATACATTGAAATGTCTACATGTAATTGATATATACATATGTATAAAATGTATATATCACTTTATAGTATTATGTAGGGACTATATAAAAATCGTCTTTATTAAAGTCTTTTAAAATTCAAAAGATATTTATCATGAGATTATGGTGGTGTCAACTGACACAGTACTTAGTTTTTTCATTGCAGTCTCCCTTTCTGAGTGTACGAGTTTTTTAATCTACTGAAATATGTATAAATTATTTAAAAATTCTTATCATTGCAACCCTTTTTAACCCCTATTTGTTACACTTGCAAAAAGTCAAATCAACTCAACAAATTATCGAAACTTATCGAGTGTTTAACATCCCCAACAGTTGAAGGAAAAAATTGTTTGTGATTATTTCGTGAGAATTTTTATTAATTTGCGAAAACTTGTACTCACGAAATAAAGTACTAAAAAGGGTCTACGAGCAGTATAAGTATATTATATATTGCAAGATTAATCTATATTTGATAAATTTTAAACAAGATGTAACATTATTTCAATAGGTTGAATTATCCAGAAACAGAAATACAAGGTATGAGCGATTGGCCAAAGTCACATAAAAACGCAAACAACGCAAAAATCGAAAAGATGACGGAAGATGCTTCAAAGTTTTTGGGCGGTATCCTAGGTGATATCAGCTCGAGATCAGCGTATACTCAAATAGCTATTGGTGCTACATCGGGATGGTAAGTATTCGGCCTTTGCGTGCTTTTACATTTGTTAAATATCACAAACATATGTATGTCGCCTTTTAATAATATTAACGATTCTGATCCATAATTTATTACAATACTTTACATATATGCAAATCTCAGCTAAATGACGTAATATTCAAGAGTTTGTGAAAATGGGCTTGCTAAATAAACAAATGAAAAATATCTACATATGTATATAATTGTATACACTTGTACATTTGCTGTACGTAGCGCATCAGTCATTAAATGATTCATTATAATACATAATAACAATATTTGTATACATGTTTAATTTTTTATTTTTCAAATTTTATCAAAAAAAATTCATACCTATACTATTTAAATGTTTTACCAATATTTCGCGTTTAAGACATGTCAATATTTTCTAGGTTTACTGGTTTCGCAACAATGAAAGTAGGCAAATTTGCTGCTTTTGCTATTGGCGGTGGTATAATTTTAATGGAAATTGCTCATCAAGAAGGTTTTATTGAGATTGATTGGTCGAAAATCACAGGAAAGCTGGACAAAGTCACGGATAAAGTAGAAACCGCCGTGACTGGACAAGAAAAAAATTGGATTGAAAAGGTGAGTGAGAATATGTTGAGCACAGGCACTTATAAAGGTCCACTTCAATCGTAAGTAATTCTTATTTACTAAGTTTTAAAAATTACGGGTATCAAATGAGTTTTTATTAAAACTTTTTAAAGACGTAATATATAAATAAATGTAGTATCTAATATACATACATACATACGTGCATAAAAAAAAGTTATTTCCTAAAATTCCTCAGATCTGAAAGTCTCATTGTTGACACTAATATGATTTTTTTTCCGTTCAACTAGGGCAAAGGGTTTGTAAAAAACAACGCAATTTTCACGGTAGCATTTCTGGGTGGTGCTCTTGTTGGAGTTGGCTGTGCATGAATTACTTTAGGACCAATGTTATTTGTAGCAGTCTGCTAACCACGACTGTTTTAGTCAGGCAGTAAAAAAAAATTGTAATATGTGTATATTTATGAACTGTTCTCTTCTTCAGATTTTTGCTTTATAATAAATTTGAACCGTTTCTCAAGCAAATGTAAAAAAGAAATCCATATGTATGTATGTATATAGGTAGTTTATTATTTATACTTATGTTCATGTATATGCATTTTAGAGCTCTGCTTTATTTAAACTAAACAGTAAAAATAAAGTTTCGCTTGCTTTATTCACTTTTTAGACTGAACGATTTGTCGATCGTAAAATTGACCGTGCTGAAAACTTATTGAAGTCAAAAACAAAGAAAGCCAAAAAGTGGTATAGCAAACTTATTGGTGATGAAAATGGACCTAAAGTAAATGATCTTCATATCTTCTTGACGGCTTTCATAGGCGGAATAGCATTAGGCGTAGCTTCGTCTTAAAACTAAATCTACAGATTTCTTGTATGTACAACATACATATGATGCATATGTATATCTCACAGCTTGTTTCTCATTCATCGCATTCTTATTAACATTATTTAATTTGAGTTTAATTCTATATATTAAAGAGATTATGATGTAATATATTTCATAACTGTTCTTGAATAAAGACGTTGCATCAATTTAATAAAACCGAAATTATATCTATTTATTAATTTTTTGAAACTCATTTCAATTCTCATTCAATAACGTTTTCCCCCCAAAGTCTAAAATTCATACTGGACTTTCATATTGAAACATCTATATAATTTAAATACTCGTAACTGTTTGTTTTTATTCAAGTTTTTCTTTTTTTAAATTTTGTTGAATGCAGCGACATCAACACTTTGGACGTAGTCCTCTAATTTTTCAATTTCTTCAGTCAGCCAATCAATTGAAACTTTATCGTCTTCAACGACACAAGAAATGCTCAACTTTTGGATACCAAAAGCAACAGGGACAAACTTTGAAGCGCCCCATAAGAGACCATCAGTTGTGATTTTCCTTATCTCCGTTTCCATAACTTTCAAATCGGTTTCGTCATCCCATGGCTTAACATCCAAAATCAAACTAGATTTTGCGATAATTTGCGGTTTCTTGGATTTCTTTGCGGCATATGCAGCCAAACGTTCTTCACGTATACGCGCAGCATTCTCATCCTCTTCTTCGTCTGAACCGAATAGATCTACGTCATCATCATCCGCTTCTGGTTGTGTAGCAGTGGCAGGAGCGGATATGGGTGCACTAGCCTTGCCAGAAAGTTCAGAATTTACCTTCTTTTCCAAGGCCGTGACACGATTTTGTGTTTCCAAGCAAACAGCTCTCAAACTTTCTATCAAATTCCTCAGATCTGCGTTGTCTTTTTCTACAACAGCAACGCGATCAAGCACATCACTGGAGACAGGAGATGAGCTTAAGGTGGTAATGACGTCCATCTATAAAGAAATAAGAAATTAAAAATACATAGTAAAAATAATTTTTTGTGCCTCAGAATGTTTCGATATTAAAATTTTAATTAAGATTTTAAGGCGACTAATAAGAGAATCCCATATTAAAGTTCGTATGATACACTTTTATAATACACCATTTACAATTACCTTTTCTAAAGAATTTTTAATGTGCTCTCTTGCTTTAGCGATTTCCGACACTAAAGTGCTTTGACTGTTGGCCGAGGAACCCTTTAAATATAAGTAGGTAATAATTTTTAGAATCGAAAAAACATTTACTATTCGATAGGCGATAAGTTTAACATTGGAGCCACAAACACATTTGTTAAAGAATAATAAATATATTAATTATAAAGAGTTTCAACAAGAATTTCGATTGAAAGAAATTTTAATTAATAATAATATGCAATTGTACATTCAATGAAAATAATATTCTTAAAGTGGGTAGGTATATGTAGACATTAAAAATAAATAAAAAAAAAAAACAAAATCTAAAACAACATTTGTGAGTACTAATAAAAAAAAATGAAATTCGGGCGGTGCGACGACTTCAACTACTAGTGAAAATAATAAATTTTATAATTTCCAAACGAAAGGTATTACAAGCATAAATGTTGCTAACCAGCACATCAGCATTTTTCTTTGCACCCCTATTTCTTTTCTTGGGTTTTTCTCCAATTGGTTTAGACGAAACTTCAATTGGTTTTCCAACTAGTTTTATTGATTCAAATGGAGCATTGACCTGGGAGCCCGTTAGTAAAAGCCTCTCTTCACTTTCAGAATTTGTAGATATTTCCGTTAGTTTCGCTACATATTCATTCTTTTTATTTTTCATTTTCTTTACTTTTTTCAATTTGCAAGCGGGCTCTTGTACACCATTCAAGTACCCTTTGCCGCTTAATTGTTTGACCTTTTCCTTATTTATTTGTGCAGCATGAAAGGAAACATAACTTCAAATTAGATTTACAGATAGATAATTTTACCGACACGTGTAACAGTTACATACATATGTACATTGGCATGATAATTAGATCCAAATATTTTCCTCATTTTCATACCTGTTTGCTCAAAAGTTCGTGATATTGACGTTCAGCATTATGGCAATTTGCTTTATCCACCCAAAAACGGTCTGCAGCTAAGGACTTATCCATTTTTAATATTTTATTTTTCTCAGAAATACCAAGTCCGCAAATATCTCTGCAACGTTAACGTTAACTGTGAGATGTTCACGATGCAGTACCAAAGATGACTAGATACGAAACTTACTCAAAATCACTCAAATTGCAGCTGAGAGCGTTCCCCCATCTCACATTCTAATGTTGGCAGCAGNAAAATAAAAAAAAAAAAAAAACAAAATCTAAAACAACATTTGTGAGTACTAATAAAAAAAAATGAAATTCGGGCGGTGCGACGACTTCAACTACTAGTGAAAATAATAAATTTTATAATTTCCAAACGAAAGGTATTACAAGCATAAATGTTGCTAACCAGCACATCAGCATTTTTCTTTGCACCCCTATTTCTTTTCTTGGGTTTTTCTCCAATTGGTTTAGACGAAACTTCAATTGGTTTTCCAACTAGTTTTATTGATTCAAATGGAGCATTGACCTGGGAGCCCGTTAGTAAAAGCCTCTCTTCACTTTCAGAATTTGTAGATATTTCCGTTAGTTTCGCTACATATTCATTCTTTTTATTTTTCATTTTCTTTACTTTTTTCAATTTGCAAGCGGGCTCTTGTACACCATTCAAGTACCCTTTGCCGCTTAATTGTTTGACCTTTTCCTTATTTATTTGTGCAGCATGAAAGGAAACATAACTTCAAATTAGATTTACAGATAGATAATTTTACCGACACGTGTAACAGTTACATACATATGTACATTGGCATGATAATTAGATCCAAATATTTTCCTCATTTTCATACCTGTTTGCTCAAAAGTTCGTGATATTGACGTTCAGCATTATGGCAATTTGCTTTATCCACCCAAAAACGGTCTGCAGCTAAGGACTTATCCATTTTTAATATTTTATTTTTCTCAGAAATACCAAGTCCGCAAATATCTCTGCAACGTTAACGTTAACTGTGAGATGTTCACGATGCAGTACGACTAGTCCTTCGCTCAATTGTGAATTTGCGAAAATCGATCAATGCCAACTGTAAAATTATGTTAATCGATATTAATATTTGTCGTTAGAGATCACACAGATGGTTATTGCTACCGATTGTTACATATTTGTTGACAATGGAGACAGGTCGAGATTCCCAAGTGTTGAATATGTATAACAATTTCTACTGGTAAAATTTTTAACTGTACGAAAATTCATTATGCATTCCTAATTACACCTCTCTAGCAATAAAATCGAATACAATAACACTTATAATCGTTTTTAAGATTCCACAACATTTTATTTTCACATAAAAATTAAAATAAATATACATAAATATTTTACCATAATCTGAAATTATTTTCAATATTTTTGTTTTTAATGTGTACTTGCATTTATTTAACAAATTCTACAAAGGTGAAGCAGCTTTTAAAGCTGGTAATGCTTTGTTTGGATAAGTTTATTTTTAACAAACGATTTTGGAACCTTTATAACTTTTTGTGATACATGTACATATGAAATTGATGAAATCACGTGTATAACTTTTAAAATATAAATTAGTAAACATTATAGTTTCTAATCTAATTCTATTCGATTCTCCATAAATAAATTACCAGTATGTAACTTTGATTCTTTCATTTTATCATACGATTTAAGTAGATCCTCCATTGAAATCGCAATAAGTGGATTTCTTAATTCGATAGCATCGTAGGCCGAAGAAGAAGTCGATGGTTGTGACGCTTGCACATTTAGTTCATTCTCATTGGTACGCATAAATAAGCGCATTCGGTAAACAGAAGCATTTCGACACATTTCTCTCAAATCAGAGCCAGAAAATCCATTTGTTAGTTTGGCCAATCGATTAAAATCAACATCATTGTGCACGCATTCTGTTTCCAATATAAGTTTTAAAATTTGTAAACGTTGAACTTCGGTCGGTAGTCCAATGTGAAACTGGGCAGGCATACGACGAATGATTGCCTTATCTAAATCTTTAGGACGATTAGTAGCGCCCATAACAATAACTGTAGAATTAGAATTGGTACTAAGACCATCCCAAAGCATCATAAATTGTGTTTTCATCATGGCGGTAGCCTCATGGTCATTTGAGTTGCGACTGCGCAGAAATGAATCGATTTCATCTATGAAAATTATGCAAGGCTGAATTTTTATAGCCAACGAAAACACGGCAGATGCCAATTTTTGGGATTCCCCGTACCATTTATCAGTCAATATAGCCACATCTAGGTTTATAAAGCGCATGCCGGCCTCTTTAGCCGTGGCCTTCGCAATAAGTGTTTTTCCACAGCCAGGTGGGCCATGTAACAAAACACCTTTTGGTGCTTGCCACAATTTGGATTGATTAAATAATTCCCGATGTCTCACTGGTAATACCACTGACTCACGCAGTTCCTGAATAACGTCATCGAGTCCAGCAATATCACTCCAGCTTACTGTTATATCAGCAGGCACAACCAAGTGGGTAGCAATCATTAACTCATAGTCGTTAAATTGGGTTGGATTCATTTTAAACCCACTTTGATCCCCAAGCCTAAAAAAATAAATATCTTTCATTTAAAATTTTGTCCACCCGTTCATTTAGTCTATTAGTTACCTTTTCAATTGCTCTTCGGCCCGCAATTTAGCCTTTTTTTTGTTCTTGCTTGTAGGGTCGAGTTGATTCATCATCCATTTTACTGAATAAAATGTAATGACAGATGCAATAGATACCCGCAAAAGAAGCTGAACTATTTCATTTCTAGATAATTGCGAGCCACCGAAATTAAAGTTATCCATATTTTTATAAATATTGTGTAATTTTACTTATTAGACACACATTCAGTATACTTTAGCGCAATTGACATTGCGATACTTCATTTTAGAGATGTGTTAAAATGTAGGCATATCGAATTCAAAAGTCAAACTTACGTTAATAAATAAATTGCAAAAAACAAAATTATTTATAATTTATGCTGTTTGTGAAGCCAGTGTTATTTAAACACATCTTCTATATTAGATTAGCCATAGAAAAATACAAATTACACAGTTTTATTTTTCTGATTCTAAGCTTTCTGTGTACCCTGTTTTACTTTCGTTTACCACTTTGTTTACCCACTTTGTGGAACTATTTTTATTTAACGTTGATAATAACAAAAATGTGGTAACCATTGTATACCCTGTTTTTTGTTGCGAGTTTACACGTTTGTTTTAGTTGCCGTAGAATTTATTAAACAAAAATGGATTTTGGTGCTGAAGACAATCTTACAGTGGAGGAATTGCACTTTATAGGTGACTTGGACAGGTGTGTTCGCAAATTCAATATATTTTCTACGAACATTTTTCGTTATACTTTTAAATTTTCTTCTACAAACTGCACAGTCGCCAGTTTGGTTTTCTAAAGCTGACAGCACCTGAAAATGCACCCATACGGATTATCGTTGAGCGTGCCGTGAAAATTCTACAAAATATTATTATATCCGCAAAAGAAAATGAAGAGGGTGATAAGACAGTAATAAAATCCGAGGACGTGCCTGAAAATACAAACTCACATGTGATGAAGACAGAGCAGGGAATTGATGAACTATTGCAGGAAAATAGTACCCAAGTGCCTGTTGACTTTCCAAGTAAAAAAAGGAAAGAAGAAGAAACCGCCAACCAAAAATCAGAGGAATCTGTTACAACTCAGGAAAGTGGTGATAATAACAAATTGCGCGTAGATGATATGACGTATTGTAAATTGGGGCACTTACATTTGCTTCTCGAAGAATATGATGAAGGTAAGTTAATCCCACAATTGGATTACGTACATAAGTATGTGAAGAGAGTCCGTTGCAACTAACTTTTAACACCTTCGTACTACGTGTTTACTAATTAAAGACTTGAAATTACAGCGCTTGCAGCTTATCAAAAATACTATCAATTGTGCCCAAAAAATTGGAAAAATTTGCCTTTTCTATATGGTCTTGGAATGGTGTATTTTCATTTTAACGCATTTAGATGGTGAGTGCCTCTAGACAATTATAGTACATCTTTACTAGATAATAAATTTAAATAAAGACATTTCATAAGATGCGTGCTTATACAGTATGTGTTATGTGAACTATGTATTGGTAGAATACAAATCATCGTCAATATCCCTACAAATCTTAGAGCAGGTTCAGTTCATCTAATAAATACTTATAAAATAAATCGCAAATATATGGACATATGCTTACTAATATTGTTGTTGCCCCCCGAATTTGTGGACGCCTTCGAGCTTCTCAAAATTTTTTCTTAGAATCCTTTAGTTTTCACGTTTGAAATAGACTCGAAGTATATATAGGTATATTAATATAAATCACAAACAAATGGCGCATATCTGAAAAGGATATGTAAAAAATAGAAGTATTTTGTTAAGACTTTTGAATTTTTAGCTTCAAATTGAAACAGAAACATGTAAATTTGAAAAATAATTTAAATGTATTTTAATGGACTCATGTTTTTATAGTGATATTTTTGAAAACTATTAATTATTTAAATACATAAGAAAATTTCGTGGAATACAATAAGTAAATTTTGACATAATCTCAAACAATTAATTACTTTTTCGATTAGAAAAGGGTGTTGCCAATGATTTATCAATAGAGAAACAGTCAGGCTACACCTGATCGACAAAATTGCTGGCAACACTATGTAATATTTCCCATGTTTTCTTTTTTAGTTCGCTAAACTCCTTCCGTAGGGCACGATGCACCACTGCCTTTGTGCGGTTGAGTCCGCCATATTTATTTCTCACTGCCATTGAGTGATTTTAATTGTAGTAATAAAAAATAGAATTTAGTGTATTTGTAAGAAATTAATAAAACCAAAATTAACGCAAACACTTTAAATTAAATTTGTATGCATTGTGTGTTAATTAATGATAAATAGTTATGTGAATAACAAACGAATATGTATGTGTAATCGCCTATGTTTAAAACCGGAAGAAAAAGTACTTTTTTAATCAATATAAATTGAAACACTGTTTTAAAAAGTGTAATAATTAAAATATATAAATTTTGTATACAAATTTTTACATAATTAATATGCAAGAAGAATGTAAACATAAAAAAGACCATATTTCGTTAAGTACATATATGAAAAACGTTTAGTGGTGTTAGTTTGTGTATACACCAATATTTCAAGAAGGGAACCACAATCTAATGCATTTGTTTTCATGCACATCTACCCTCTGACGTCGCTTGTATAAAATGCCAAAATTTTCATCTTTGAATTAATGCAAAGGAAATGTATTAGAAGTAAACTACGTAAGTAAATTGGTAAAAAAGTAAAGGTTTTGTTGCAATATGTTTGTATGTTTTAAATTTGGAAAAATAACAATTCTATTTATGTACTGTGTATGTTTGATAGACCAATAACATAAACAATCACTCACTACATTCCTACCAAGATAAAACAAGCTACTTAACACCTTTATTACATCTTTGTTTTGAATTCAAAGTTAGATGAAAATTTTTAAATATATTAAATAATATTGTTATTGTAAAAATCATTTAAAATTTTTCTTTGGCATACATATAAAATGTATGTGGAGAATGTCTGGTCACGTAGGCACGAGTGTACTCTGTTACACCGTCTAGTAGAGTATTTAAATATGTATGTATGTATTGTGTGCACATTGCCGAGTATGCGCTAGTGCATAAATATGCATCTTGGGGTGGTACGAAAAGAAATCTGTTAATTTTTGTTTTAAGTAAAAGGCAAATATTTTTTGAAAATAGTAAGTATTTGGAAGGACAAATTTAACTAAATCAACTCATTTATGCTTACGATATACGCTAGCATATGCAGTTATAGCAATCAACATACCTACATATTTATATAATGATATGTGTTTAACCCCACACAGGGCGGAAACAGTAACTTTTACATAGCCATGTACATGTATGTAGATGTGTTTTGTGGTTAGACCCGAGAATTGGAAATTTATAATACCGCTATTAGTTAGGTAGATGAAGGTAATTACACAACTAGATTTATTCTTAAATTTGGTTGATATTTTTCCATATAAACTAATTTATTTAAATAGTAATATATGCACATAAATTCAGATATTACTCTAAAGAGAGTTCAGAAGGCAAAATTTAAAAAAGGAACTAGCTAAATGTCCTTGAATGAGGCAGACTATTTACTAAGACCCGTTTAAAAACTCTACTTGTCCCTTTTTGGGTACTAAATGGCTATGAATAACATCCAATTTTTTCACTTATCATGACTTTTGAATATGTATATGTTTTAAGTCATATCCAGATAGTCGATGAAGCAACTACTATTTTACCCACCAAATATTGTACTGTCTTTTGTTTTATTTCAGGTCTATTAGAGCGTTTCGCAATCTGCTTTATCAGGATCCAAATTTTATACGTGCAAGCGAGGCACATTTGCGTGTGGGGCTTATGCTAAAAGTTTTTGGGGAATACAAATTATCGCTAAAGCACTTGAAACTAGCACAGATTGACAATTCTCCATGTACTTTCTCTAAGCTACAAAGTATGTTCATATATGTATATCAATAAAATTATCCACTATAATATAATAATAATATTAGTAATACAAATAAAATTTCTTATTAACATTTACTATTTTCCCCTAGTAAAATTCCATATTGCTCATCTGTATGAAGTTCATAATAAATACAAAGCGGCCAAGGAGGCCTACGAGCATCTACTTAATAGTAAAGAGCTGACATTGGAATTGAAGGCAGATATATATAGACAATTAGGTAATGTACATACAAATTAATAACCGTAAAAAAAATGTTGACAAATTTTACTGATTATAGCTCGAAAGGTATGCGTATGTGTTCTGTCAATAATATAAAAGCAAATAGTTTCAATTTTATTGGCAATACTTTAGCCTTTTAAAATAAATAAGGCACGTCGTTTTGGTTTTATAGACGATAAAATTTGAGTCTTTGTAAATGCTAAAAACTTTCTACTGAAATTTGTTCATATTCTTAAATTTTTGCACTCAACTATCACATCTGCCGCGCCCGTTGTGTTTTGTTTTTTGTTTACCGTGTTAACTTTTGTGAAATCAATAGAAGTGCATGAAATTTACTTATAGTTTGTTTTATTAGCCTCAAAATAAAAATTTAAAAAATGTAGACCATCTTCGGCTTCCGGTATAGGAAGCTTGGTATGTTAATCAAAATCAAAGTGTGAAAAACTCGAGGAGTGTATAAGCCGCGAGACTAAAAATGTGTATAGAGAAAACAAAATTTGATAAAAACACAAAATTTGATAAAACAAATGAATTTTACTTATGTCAGATTGTGCCCGGTTAATTTCACAGCTTTTTTTTTCATATTTTCATAATTTTTTATTTATTTTCAATCTACAGGATGGATGTATCATTGTGTAGAGTCATTGGGCGAAAAAAAACAACGAGATAACTATGCAATAATATGTTTACAAAAGTCAATTGAAGCAAATCCGAAATCAGGACAATCACTGTATTTATTAGGCAGATGTTATGCCGGAATCAATAAGGTGCATGACGCATTCATAGCTTACAGAAATTCGGTGGAAAAGAGCGAGGGAAACGCCGATACTTGGTGCTCTATTGGGTAGTGTATATTTAAAAAGTAGTAGGTAAAAAAATAATTAATCAATGTTTGCTTATTTCCCTTTTATAGTGTATTATATCAGCAACAGAGTCAACCAACAGACGCTTTACAAGCGTATATATGTGCAGTTCAACTTGATAAAAACCATAAAGCGGCGTGGACAAATCTAGGAATATTATATGAGAGTTGCGGGCAACCAAGGGACGCTTATGCATGTTATTTGAATGCTACAAGAAGTATAAAAAATGTTAGTTACCAATAAGAATTGCATATGCTTTGGCCACAAGGCATAACAACTATACTCAATTTTTATAATTATATTTAAAACGCCCGAAAAAGTATTTATAAAAGAGAATAGCTTATTTTCCATTGATATCATTTGAATTATTTTGCGCATCATGAAATAATATTTTTTATGTTTATCTATTTAGAACATACAACCAAAAACTACTGCTAACGATAACAAAGCTGGAAATTTAAATTTAAAGTTACGTACAACTGGAAATTTAACAACGCGGGAGTGTCAAGGTTTGGGTAAAGGCTTATCGCAGCGCATTAAATTTTTAGAGGCGCAGTTAGCCCAAGCGCCGATGCCAAGTATTACTTCGAAGAGAAGACAACTTTGTTCAATTGAAGAAGCGTGGAATTTACCAATTTCATTGGAAATGAGCTCGAGACAACAACATCAACAGGCTAACCAATCGCAGCAACGTCAATATGGCAAAAGTGCACATGGTTCGGTGAGTATTACTTTTCATTTTCCATTTTTTTTTTATGCTGGTCTCGGTTCAACTGAGAAACTCGGTACATTGAAATGTAATGTTTTTATTACTTTTTTGACGTATTATCATTTCACTGCGTTGCTAAAGTAAATAATTAAACATTAGAAAACTCCAATGCATTACATATTTTAATCATTATTAGTGAGTGCATTGAAGTTTTTTATATTAAAATTGATACATTTACTTGTTTTATTTATTGATGAAGTTAAGCAAACTAGTAATATGGTACAATTCTTGCTTACTACGTAAGCTTTCAAACTGTGTATATAAACCACTCTTTAACATATGCAATTGTATGTACGATTCCAAAAACAAATTTTTAATTTTATATTATGTGAACTTATTTTAATCATAACAAAACTAAAAAAAATTAAAAGATTAAGAAAATAGGTATAAAATAATATGTTTGTCCGAGCATGACTAATTCGGTACCCTACCCGTTTTGCTATTAGCATTTTTCCTACAAGCTGGGAGTTCCCGCAAATTATATTTAATGCTTTTGTTAATACCAAAAACAGCGATGTATCGAAACTTGTATGAACAATTTTTAAGAAACGTTACATGAATATGAACTTTTGTTTTGGCAACTCTGCCCAAGTAAAAGATGAATAGCTATTGGCAACGCTGTTTTCAACATGCGTCGGAAATGTATTAATTTCCTTCCATTCCATTTCTGTTAGGTTAAGTGTAAGGTTGGTTATAAATCTACTGCAATTTTTATAAAAGTTCAATATTGTGAACGGTATGTACTTTTACAGGTAATACAAGGACCACCACCACCTTATCCACATCAACAACAAAATTTAAATACCGTACCATCAAAACGTTTCAAAGATGAGGGCCTTCAACAAGCTGGAGAGACGGGGAATCGCCCAGCTCAGCCAGCTTTCTACTTATCCCAACAGCAGTTACAAACATTACAATTTCTGCAACAAAACCAAAGTACACTTAATCATCAAGAACAAACATTGTATCAGCAACTTAGCAACCAATATCGCCTTATGCAACAATACCAACAGGCAATGCGGCAACAGAATAATACCACCACGTGTCAAATGCCGCAAAATGTACAATCACAACAGTTGCAATCTCCATCACTGCAGACAGCGACACATTCTACAGGGACACCGTCTTCAGCGTTAACGCCTTCATCTTCTAATGAAGCGACGACAGCCAATTCGAGTGCTGGTTCAATTGATGAGCAAGCAAAGTCTGCAATGCCAAAGGCATCATCATCTTCAACAACAAATGAAGCTGGTGTATTGACGCAATTATCACCAAGTAGTGATCAATTGGGTGAGTACAAATGCCGGAACAAAAATCGTAATGTTTAGGGACCACGATCACGTGCTGCAACATGTATATACATATGCGGTATGTACAACTACATAACCTAAAACAACCAAAAATGATGGGAGGCTCTTACTCTTGTTTTTATATATGCATACATAAGTATGTATATATAAAAATTATGTGTACATATGTATGGATATTAAAACGCTTCGAATATACGAGTTCGAGCATAAAAATTATTGTACTTCTCACAAAACGGGATATATGTACATCTAATAATATTTTAGTGCAACTTATTCAACCAAATTTTTTACACTGACGAAACGGTTTCATTTACCTTTGATTGAGATAGATGATTGATAATTTGGGAAATCTTAATGATTCTGGGTACAGGCATATAACTTTTTGTCTTAGACGATAACCACAACCACACTGAACGTCATTACGGTGACCATCTATAACTAGTTCAAAACTGAAAAAAGTTGAACATAACCACAACAAAATTTTTGTTAGAAGGGTGAGTTTTAAAGATTTAGAAAATGAAGTAAAAGGTTAAATTAAGATTATATGAACTGAAAACATTGATTCTAAATTCCTTCGCATGGTATATATGACATTAAAATTGGTTTTTAAAATATAATAAGCCATTTAAAAAAATTCGCGAAGAAAATTCAGTAAATCAAAAGGAAGATGAGGTGTCGCGTGAAGTTTTTGTGAATATTGAGTGCAAGCATATCTCATTTCGAAAATGTCGAAGCAGTTTTTTTTTTTGTTAAACTTGTTTTTGTATCTAGATTTTGCAGAGAAGGGATATATTTCAGTAATCTAAACTCACAGCAGTATACAATTTTACTAATCGTTTCGAGTTTTAAGATATATATTATAACCTAAATTCTTTTCTTATTTGTTTATTTTTTTTTTAGGGGTAAGCGATCAAGAACTTCAAGTGTTTCTCTCACAAAAGGGCTTAACATCTACTTTTGCTGAAGACCTTTTAAAGACATTCAATCCCGAGAGTCTAGAAATTAAAGAGGAAGATATCGGAAGTACTGCCGAAGATTTAATTAATGGTCTTGACAAAAACTTGCCCTTAGATGATAAAAGCAATATGCGCATTTTAAATGAAGACGCTACTCAACAAACGGGAGTAGCGGACTCTGCTAGTAGTGCCACAGACGTTGGCATTGTAAAAGAAGAAGCTACCGGTGCGCAGGAAGACGCAGATGTGAAACTTGAAAATTTCTTAGATGGTGATAATGAAGATAAAGAAAAAAATGATGATGATCTCGAAGAACCATCAAAATTTAGCATACAAATGGATTCCAAGCAGCTAATTGCCGCTGTAAAAAATCTTTCTCTTGATGAACCACCGCCCCATTGTTCTGTGTTACATATAAATGCGCCGCCCCCTTCGCCACCCGACTGCCCGCCGCAACGTTTAACCCGTGAACAACTACTGCCGCCCACACCATCAGTTCATCTAGAAAATAAGAAACACGCCTTCAGTCCACAACTGCAAGAGTTTTGTCTAAAACATCCAATAGCTGTGGTGCGTGGCTTAGCGGGTGCACTTAAATTGGATTTAGGTTTGTTCTCTACAAAAACACTTGTCGAAGCGAATCCCGACCACAGTGTCGAAGTGCGCACACAAGTGCATCAATCGCCCGATGAAAATTGGGATGCATCGCAGGCAAAAAGAGTTTGGGCGTGCATTTCGCATAGATCACATACCACAATTGCGAAATATGCGCAGTATCAAGCGTCGAGTTTTCAAGACAGCTTAAAGGTAGGTAATCGTTGTTGACCGTGGTTTTTTTTTTTTACTTATGTTTGCGCATATGACGATCATATTATTTTTTATTAACTTTCGTTCTACATATGAATGATGATGAGAAATATTTTACTGATGACGCCATCAAATTATTTTATTTTATTAAAAAAGTATAAATATTAATACGACTTTTTTTGTTTAACAGGATGAGCATGACAAAGGACCAGCCGGCATGCAAACAATGTCTGACTCAGATTCTAAAGACTCGGTGACGAATTCAAATGTTAGTGGGAAACGGAAAAAGCACAAAAATGGCAACAAAATGTTGAGGTAGGTCCAATTGTTTAAATAAAAAAAAAATTATTAAAAAATCGCACTTATTAATCTAGTATTGACTATACTCTTTCGTCAATACTATTCATTAAAGTGCTAGAGTAAAGCAGGGTCTTTCGCTAACACCGTTTTAAATACACTTGAATAAACGGCGTTTGATAGTAGGTCTCTCGACACGTAATAAACATTTTAAAAGATATTAAATTTTATGACGATATTTTCTTCATTTTATTTCTAATTTTATCAATAATTTTTAAAATCGCATATTTTATAACGAAACTATTTTACACTATATAGATTCGGCACCAATGTAGATTTATCTGACGAACGCAAGTGGCGTTCACAATTGGCTGAACTCCAAAAATTGCCGGCATTTGCACGTGTCATTTCGGCTGCAAATATGTTATCGCATGTGGGCCATGTCATCTTGGGTATGAACACAGTGCAATTGTATATGAAAGTGCCGGGTAGTCGTACACCAGGTCATCAGGAGAACAATAATTTTTGTTCTATAAACATAAATATTGGACCGGGAGATTGTGAATGGTTCGCTGTACCCGATGCATATTGGGGTGGCATACATAATCTATGCGAAAAGAATAATATCAGCTATTTGCATGGTTCATGGTGGCCGGTTTTGGAAGATTTGTATAAAGAGAATATACCCGTTTATCGCTTTATCCAACGGCCGGGCGATTTGGTGTGGGTTAATGCAGGGTGAGTAAGTTTTGAATATATAAAGTTTAAAATTAAAAAATAATTGTAATTCGCGAAGTGATGTAAAACACAATTCAATTACTAACTTTCGTTCTGCTGAACATCATTTTGTAGAGATTGAGTTATCTGATGAAGCGCACATAACAGTAAATTAGGGCTAAAATAAAATAATATGAATATTTATTATTTAAATAATATAAGTACGACACACGTTTCTATTGCTTGCAGTTGCGTACATTGGGTGCAGTCAGTTGGTTGGTGTAATAATATTGCATGGAATGTCGGTCCATTAACGGCGCGGCAATATTCTCTTGCCATCGAACGGTACGAATGGAATAAATTGCAAAACTTCAAAAGCATTGTGCCGATGGTGCATCTTAGTTGGAATCTAGCGAGAAATATTAAAGTATCAGATCCAAAACTGTTTGAGCTTGTCAAGTAAGTAGACGTTTTTAAACCGATGCGCATATTTCTTTTTAATTTTAGCCGTCAGGTATGTTCGAATGCTTCACTTTGTGAACATCAAAATAAATCTCTTGCCGTTACATTTTTGAAAAAATTAAAAACCAATAAAATTCAATCCTAAAACTCCTAAAGTCTAAATTTTCCTGAAATGATTCAACCAATAATTAATTTCTCTGCATACTGAATATATGACATTAACGTATATATGGAATAATTTGTTTGTTTCTAATAAATTTGTATTTATTATATATTACTTTACAGAATGTGTCTTCTCCAGACTTTAAAAAATGTTTTGCATACCTTAGAATATGTGAAATCAAAGGGCGTGGAAGTACGATTTCATGGACGAGGAAAAAATGAAGCATCGCATTACTGTGGACAATGCGAGGTATGATCTGTTTTTTTTTTTTTATATTACACGAAATGGAGGAGAGTTAAAATAGTTCAAATTTTCTTACCTTCAAAAACTTCATACAAAAATTCTGAAAATTATTACTTTATATTTTTTTTTTTTTTTTTTTTTTTTACAAAATTTCTTTTTTCAGAATTTTTATTTTAGTATTCTAGTATTCTAGTCGTTTTGATATGCGATTCCACATTTTTTTTTCATTGATCCGCAGATATACTTTGGAGTGAACACTTTAGTAGCACTCTGATTGCCCCTCTGACGGAAAATTATGAGATTGCACATGGGTCTATTAAATCTAAAAATGTGCACTTTAAAGTGGTGTGCATTAGATAAGAGACCAACAAGATTTTTTTTATTTAAAGTTTGACTTATAATTATTTAATTTATTACACATTTTTTTTATCCACTGACTTTTTTTTTCTTCATACTATACACAGGTTGAAGTATTCAACATTTTATTCATACGCGAACAGGAGAAACGTCATGTTGTCCACTGTATGGCGTGTGCACGCAAGCTATCACCAAATTTACAAGGCATCGTTTGTCTAGAGGAATATCGATTAAGTGAACTTTTACAAATATACGATGCATTCACATTGTATAAAGTACCACCACAGACACTGCCACAAAGTCCGAGTTCGTCGAATATTTAATACTATAACAATTATAAAAATAATGGCAACAACGGTAATGATGATGATCATGCTAATTATGTATGATAAATTATAAAGACATTCGTTAGTTGATTTGCATAGAATTTTTTTTTTGTCTCGTAGTAATTTGTCGGTAGGTCTATTGCTAATATTAAATAATTATACAATTTTTATAAAATAGACAACAAAACAAAAAAAAAAAAACATGAAAAATGCACTGGTATTATATACTTACACGGTAGGCATATTTTTATAATATTATACAAATACCATTTCATTTTTAGCAAGTTTACGAGTACATTTACGCTCTTCATATATATATACATATGTATATAATATATATATAAATATATACAGTATATAGTATATCGTGTGGACGATTAGCTCTAAATATCATTATTGTTCTATATAATTTTATTTCCTAGGCACTTAAGGCATTAACAATTATTATTGATTATGATGATCTATACACAGCAAATAAATAAATTAATAAATTATACAGACATGCACATATGAATGTATGTGTGCGCAAATACATTAGTCATAATTATTATGCAAAAATATTAAATTTTGTTCTTTAAAAAATACAAACATTATAAGAGTGCATATGAAATTATTGTAAAATGTGCGTTTTTCATAGTTTGCTTTAGTAGAGGGTAGTGGAAAATATGTGAGAGGTTGTACAATTTAAAAAATAGTTAAAATTCAACAATTTTCAAGGAAAAAATATTTCGTTAAAAGCCTATATTTCTTATAAATGAAATGAAAATGCAAATTTATTGCCAATTTAAATGATAAATTGAAGAAAGTTGCAAAATATTTTTTTGTAAATTCCTCTTAAAATAACAAAAAGAAATTAGTTTTTTTTTCTTAGTGTAAGAGTTTTAGTTAAATTAAAAAAATATACCAATGTCTTTACTATGTTTACATATATGCGCATACGTAAATACATAAAAAATAAAGTTCACCAAAATTGATTAAATTACATATGTATATGACATTAACGCGACATGCAGGATCTAATAAAATATTTGTAAAAATGTTTATATGAATTTACGATGCAATCGCATTTTCAAATGTTAATAACATATAGCACAAATGCTCAACAAAAAAATTAATTTATAAATTAATAACAACCCTGCAACATAAACATAGAAGTAATATATATACACACACACACACACATTTTAAATATATATAGAACCTGTATGTGTAATTAAAATGATCTCAATGCAAAAAAGGCAAAAACGTAATGCGGACGAAATGTAACAAAATAATAAAATGTAATTTCAAAACAAAATCTTGGGCGCTGTATCGAATAATTAAAAAAAGAAAAAATCATACATATGTATTTATAATAAAATCAGGCCAAATATCAATCTAGATTAAATGAAAGTAAAAAGCCTGCGCAACAAAACGAATATATTTTTGTAATTACGACTACTTGAGGAAAAAAATATAAAAATATATTTTAGAAGTACGTACACACATAAGTGTTCAATATTTGAAAGAAAAATAAAAACAATTAACGGTTATTTCTGGCACAGCTTAACTTTAATTAACTCGGTCCGTTTCATGTAGGTAGCTTTTCTGATAATTATTTATTTATACCTTTCCATTTAATTTTCTTACAATCAAGTTCTCTATTTCAATAAAATACATTAGGTTCAAATTAGTTTAGTATTATTTGGTGTGTGAGACGGGTGCTAAAAGATTGTGTAAAATGAAAGAAAAAAAAATTTACATACATAATTATGTAGTAATTACAAGCCTACATATCTACTTAATAAAATTTGGAACACCTCTTAGTTAAATTTTAAGTATTGAATTGAAACGGACTGTATCCAACCAACCCTATATAAAAAATTCGCTTAAGTTCGCAGCGGTCTTAATGCTACTTCTATAATGTAAATATATATATACATATTTATTAATAGTCGATTTCTTCTTGGTATCCAAAATGTATTGCATATTTAATGATAAATGCCCCGCATCTGTATTCTACGTCATTACTCGTGTTTGGTAGTGGCGACGATAGGTAACGGTTTTGATTTAACTTAATATTCTTTACATTAAAATATGTATAATAAATAAAATCAATTCAGCATATTACTGTATAATTTATACGTAGTGTGAAAAAATAAATAAAATTAAAGAAAGTAATGATCGAGTTTGTTTGTGACTAATATTTTCAAATCAGTGTTTTAAATGGATGCTAATAACTGGAGTTTAAGCGGAAAATTAAAGAATTTTACTATGTGACGTTAATATAATATGCATAAAATGTCAGGTTAGATTTTCAGCGAACTACTCAAGATCGAAAAGTCAAAATTGATTCAACCAAAATGGTCTTTCTTCTAAAATGTTCAATTTCCTGTGTGGCATATGATGTCTAAAGTTTTGTTATGAGAAATTTAGTCTTAGGGATAACCTATCTTGACTGGCCTCTTGCTGGCAAATTGGGAGAATGTGTTATTTAAGGGAATGTAAAACGGTGTTTACGGTATCCATTATTTTCAACTAATCCTTTGGAATATTCAGACAACGTATGCATACAAAAAATTTACTAATTCCAATTCAAATTTACGTAAATTTTTTATTCTTTCATTGTTTAACAAGATAAAAGATATTCATATTTATAGCTAACACAAATAAACTACTTTTTAGCTCCATCTGTAATGAGCATAAGCCCGATTGCTTTCGCATTGTCGATGTAAGTCATTCTTCCTTTTCACAACTCTGCCTTGGTTGTAAGCGGCGTCTAATACTTCCCATGCCAACTTTTCTGGCAAATGTACTTTACGTTCCTTTTCCCTAGCGGCTTCCAGCAACCATTTCATAGCAAGAAAATATGAACGTTTCTCTGTCACCGGTATGGGTACTTGATATTTTACACCACCACGCTTGATTGCGGTCAACTGTAAGAGTGGTCGACTATTTTCAATTGCTTTGATTAACAACTGTTCGGGATCAGCTATTATGGTATCCTTTGATTCGGGATTCAAGTTCATACGTTCAATTTGTACGCGTTTCATGCATTCAAAAGATTTGGTCAGCAATTCCCTGGCTAATTTTTTATTGCCACCCTTAGTTATATAATTTACCATTTTGTTTACCAATTCATTATAGAATATGGATTCGGAATCATCATTTTTAGCCGCTTTGATTGGTAAATGTGAGAGCTTGATGTACTCATCGGTCTCTTTGAGATTGAGTTGCTTCTTTTTCGAGAATATTGCTTCAATATAATGTGGCGAGTAAGCAGACATGCCCCGCGTGACGGCACATATTAAGCTGTGGAGAGATTGAGTAGGTCAGCATCATACGTTTGCAAAATTAATAAGTATTTTCAATTTACCTTTGCGGCTCTAATCGACTGCACAAGCTGCGCAGCATTTTTGTTACAAGATGCAACTATTTTAACAAGTAAACAGAAACGGCAGACAAATTTCTATTGCTTTTAATTTACAGATGTTTTGTGAAGAACAAAGGTAATCGATAAATAACAATTCCTAATAGGAGATTTTAATTATGATAACTCTGTACCGATATTAGTCGGTATTGAGGGAAATGAAACACGAAAATTTTGAATTTTGAAGATGGAAATATGATCAAATAGTTTTAGATATGCTCATAGAGTGACAGTTGGTAATTTACACCCTTCGCTAAGTTTATTTTAAATCCTTAATTTCAATGAAAACATTTCAGCATTTGCGTCAATTTAAATTGGAGCCACAAAAATCCTGAAGCATGCAATTTACTCTAGTTAAAACTGAACAAATATTCAGGGAGCGCAAAGCTGTAGCTAGAAACATTACATGCCACCATGCCGGTGCAGATCCACATTAAATTGTTCATGCTTTTTTAGGCTATTAGGGTTTTTAAAGCCCAAGAATTGCATGACATAAAATTTTAATAATTAACACACGTACATTTTATTCGTTCAAGTTATCGATATATATCGTCTACTGTTAATGACAATAAAAACCAGCTGATTTTATATTGATTTAATTTGTTTACAAAATTAGAAGCCAGTTCAGGAATAGAAAGGCGTTAAATAGCGTAAAGAAACATCATGACTCCACAGGATGCAGATTTGGCATTTAAGACCAAGAAAAGTATTTTTAAAAATGAAATACCTCGATAGTGCTTAATTAACATATTGATTATTTCTTTGCATAGCGTCAGAAAAAATATGCGAAAACATACACATTGTCGCCAATGACCCATCATTGGCATTCTTTCGTATACAGGAACATGTACGTAAGGTATTGCAGCCAATTTCTGATAAGCGATCAGAGGTGATACAATTGCAAACCAACTTACAAGGACACTGTTATGACATGGAATACGCAGTTAGGTCAGTATTGTACTACCGAAGTATTATTTCAATAATTTGTTGTTTACAATTACAAATTGTACAATCAAAACTAAATCAAATAATTTTTAGTGCCGTGAAAGGTGTCGAGCATTCAGAAGCAATCTTCAAAAACATACAAGAAATGATAAAAACTTCAATATTTTTAAAGCAGCAGCTGAAGTATGGAGAACTAAAAAATAAATCTAAAAAGGAGTCAACTAGTAATTCGGTTTATAAGCGTTTTTCTGCACATTTAACATTGGATTTACCAGAGTTACCAGATTTTAGTGGTGTGATGCGCGAAACGAGTCAACGGGTGGAAACTATGATGACTTCGACAAGAGACAACAACAATGTGCCACAAAGTAATACCGGAGAATTACAAAGATCATATACCACATTGCATTGAACATAGAAAAAATAAAAAACAATACTTATCATTAATCGTATTGATATATGTACTTCTATTGTAATATTAGAATATAAGATAATTACAGTAGTTGTAAGATTCAGTTAAAATAGTAATAATAAATAAATAAAATACACAATCAGCATACATGTAATTAAACATAAACATCATGTGTTTTTAAGAAAAATCAGCTTAACTAACAATTTTGAGCACTACTGATATTTAAACCTCATATTACTCAAGCACTTCTAATATTACTCAAAAAGCCGAAACATACCTGAACCAGAGACCTGCAATAAATACTGGCGAAATGGATATGGCTGAATGACATCCGTATTCATGTCCACCAATCCACGCAAATTGCCAAACATCAGCGCGATAATTAATTTCTTCAGGGAAGAATTTCAAGGAGTTGTTACCTTCCAAATCCACTAAAAATTATTTGCTAAACCATGCACGTCCAGCGGGAGCAGGCTGTTTCATCACGGCCATTAATGTTATTTGGCTAGTCTAATAATACCCAATATGTGGTAAAAGCGTATAGTTGTCCCTCTGTTTAAGCCGGCGTAACCAGCGAACAAAGAAGAATATAATTGGCCGGCATCTCTCATTTGCCTAGTAGTAAGCCCAATTAAAACCTTGCTGCTCCCAACCTTCATTTATCATCTGAGTATCATAAACATTCAGACAGTGCATGGAATTAAGTAAATCCGTTCGAGCGTCTTGTTAGGATATTGATAATCCTTCGCATCTTCGCACTGCACAACCTTTACAGTTACAACCAGCGAAATCTTCGGCCACCCTTTTTACCAGCGGGACGAAGGAGTACTTATCGAATTCGACAAAAAAAATTCCGATTAAATCACCCAAGCCGCTGGAAGTCGCATTCACCCCGCATGCGTCTGCACTACAGCCAAATCTCTATCATTGGACATCAGCAAGGTATTACTCGACCCATTTAAGCTTTAAAAGCCATTGACTGAGAGCCGGAATCCATACACCGAATTGCCGACCAAGAGATCGTGGGGTCTATATATCTCAGCCGACTAATTCTTACATTACTACCTCTTTGAATGTTGTAAAACCAACACATCTAACCCCTCTCCCTCTGATCCGAATCTGTCGAAACAGCTTGTTTCATGGACCTCCCGTTAGATACAGACTAATCTCCCCTGTTGTTGTTGTAAGCGTAAAATATTCCCCAAATTGGTTTCCTTGGAATATTATGAGAGTGACAGTCCTTAGCCGGTTAAAAAATCCGGTGCTTTCAGGTATAAATTCCCGAAGGTCGCGGAAACTATTGGATTTTAATCGTCTTACCATGGGTAAATTCTTGAGCCCCTAACCAGCACAAGCAAATACGTCCTGCTCCTAAGTGAACCGCATACTGGTATCAACTTTTTATTTCTTAACTTCGTATTAAGATTTAATTTTAAAATTCGTTAGTTAGGAGTTTTATCCATTTCATGAAAGATGTAGTTTCAGCGTACACAATTCAGATACATAAACCATATTTATAATGGGGATACAATGGTAATCTGATACATTGTTATGGCACAAGTCACGTTCAATTAAAGCATCTTTCTTGATTTTTAATCGATTACATATAAAAATAGGATCGCCAAGTACTTCCATTAAATATGTACATTTTCTTATACAAACATACGTATATATATATGAAGATGTAGGCAGAAGCACACTCATTATTTTCTTCCTTCGAAATTTCAATTAAAAAAAAAAACAGATTGATTCGAGGCGTCAGGATAAAGAACTGAATCAAAAAAATGAATGGACGCAACCGCCATAGTAGGCTGTAGTAATGATCACAATGTAACCAACGTAAATTTCATTAACTACCCAATTTCAGTCCGCCTAAAAAAGCTTTTAGTTACGAATAATTTAAGCCCATGAAGAGACAATTAATCTAAATCCACAAAAGATATATGTATGTATACAGAAATCCAAAAATATAGAACTTTTTTTCCAATAGCTATCGCCCCTCGGTAGAGAATTTCAAACCATCCGAGTTTATTTCTGGCAGGAAATTAAAGACCCCCATAAAAATCCCTCAGCCGTTCGAAATTAGCTTAAAACTGTAGGTCTTACTATCAATTGGCTACACATGCCACATATTGCAGAAGGAACTAGGCTCTAAATTCCTTTAGCGGTTATACATACGTGTATATATATATGCACATATATGTAAAACTGCTGTAAAGGAGTAGGGTGTGTAATATTCGCTGCCACCGAAAGTATAAGATAATTCTTATTAATATGTTACATACATACATATATATATATATATATATATATATATATACAGCTGTTGACAACTAATTAGAAACGCTCTCTTCTTGTAAGTCTTTGTTGAGAATAATAGTAAAATTTAAAAATTTACCGTTAAATTTTCATAAAAACGAAGCTTGCATTGTTTTTGTCACTCTATTTACTACTCAATACCCCAAAATTTGTATTTCTATAGTAACATATTTATAACGTTGTGTTATTAATTTTTGTAAGTATTTATCTAAAATTTATTATTTAAAATGAATTAAAAAAAAAAATTGAATTAAAATATTTATTTCAAGATTCGTGATGGGAAAAGCTGTACACCTGCATTACCCAGCTCCATTTTTGACCTTCATAGAGCTGGAAAGCCATACAGTGAAATTGCGAACCAAGTCAAATGTGTTTTTTAATGATTTAAAGCATATCCAGGATTTTGAAACTGTTGCAAATGTCGTCGACAAAAAAAAAGACCCCGGAAAACTTCAGCAGGAGTAGACGACAGGAGAGCAGCGATCTCGAGAAAACACCCAAAGAAGAGTTCTTCGAACATTCAACGTGAAATTCAGGATGAATTGTACTAAATGGAAGAACAGCACGTAAGAAACCGCTCCTGACCGGTATCCAAAAAGTCGACGAGCTGATTATGCCTATTCTCATTGGTGTTGGATCTCAAACCAATTGAAGTATGTCCGTTGATGGTTGGAGGTATGTTCGACAGCCCATTAACCAAGAATTTAATCCTCGTTATATTTTCCGCGTAGTGAAGCATAGTGGAGTATCAATCTTGGTATGGGGATGTTTTCCCTTTAATGATGTTGGTCCACTCTATAGGATAAGTGGAATTTAAATAAGGAGAAGTATGTTGACATACCAGCAAATATTCTTATGCTGAAGAGAATTCGCCTGTTATATGGAAATTTTAACAGCATAACGATCCAAACCACACCGCAAAGTTGGAGAGTTGGAGTTTTTGACGCAAATTCCATCAATGTTTTAAAATGGCCATCCACCAGTCCAGAGTTTAACCCTCTGGGGTGATGTTAAAAGAGTCGTTAGTGCTAAAAATATCCTAAAAATGGATGTTCTTTTTGAGGAAGCAAGAAAGGCATGGCTAGCAATAACAGTGGCGCGTTGTCGAAACCTTTAAACACGAGTGAAATCGGTGTAAGGTAGTGTGGAAGCAGAAGGCCTATGCAACCATATACTAACTAAAAGTTAACATATTATCTTAATATCACTTTTTTCTGATGAAATATTTTCGTTTCCAATTAGGCGGCGCACTCAATTTATAGATTTTACAGATTTTTGTATAAAAAAATTATTATATTTGAAAATGAATTTTAATTTTGAATAAATTGCTTAGAATATGATTTTAAGTTTTGTACATACATATATATTTAAATAAAACTAGAAAACAAATTATGAAAATTTGTGCTTTAAAAGGAAAAAAGGTCATCCAATTCAAAATAAACTTCGTTTCTAATTAGCTGTCAACAGCTGTACATATGTATGTGTAAGCGTCCATACAGATATAAATTCTTTTCTTTTTTAATAACACTGCAACTGCTGAAATATCATTGGACTTGTATATGTGTACATACACACAAACTTACCTACACACGAGTAAGAATAACGCTTACAAATCACTTTTCGAATTGCAATGTAGCATTCAGCTAAATTTTACTCATATAGTACATTTGCCATTGCGAATTGTTGTAGTTGCAAAATATCGCGTCACCATAAGCAGCTGCTGAAGCCACATTTTAGAGAATAAATATACTTGAGGGAATAACTTATGTATAAACCACTATACATATACATATGTATGCATGCATTCTTATATTTATACATAAGTATGACCCATTATTTGCTATATATGTACATACATATATCGCGCACAAAAATATCGTTTTCCGATCTTTCCGTCATCTAAGTGTCCTGATACTTTTCAAACTTTACTCACAAGAAACATGAATCATAATTATGGCATTTAAAAGAATAAAATGGATGCATCCTGGTCAAAGCTATATACTACAAATGTACGAAGGAACAATGTTCTTAACGGTTCACTACAGTAAAATAAAATAAAAGAAAGTAAGGTATTACAAGTAATAAAAAAAAAATAGTAAGAGAAAAATAAAATAAAATTAAATTGAATAAAAAAATTTAAAAACAAAATAAGATAAAATAAAATAAATAATAAAAATATTACATGTAAATAAAGTCAAAATATGGATCAAAAAATTAAATAGAGTGTTAAAAATAATACAAATAAAAAGGTATGGAAAAAAAGAAACTAAATTAAGTAAATATTAAAAATAAAATATAACAAAGTAAAATAATGTGTACTAAAGTAAAATAAATATTATACTAAATATATGTAAAGTCAAGTGTCATAAGGCAAAAGAATGAAAAAAAAATGAAAATTATTATGAAATAAAATAATATAAAAAACAAATGAAATAAATAAGAAATTGCAAAAGAATAGATTAAAATTAAAGAATACACAAAATTAAAATAATATTAAATTAAATAAAAAAATAACCATCGTTAGCCATTAGCAAAAAAAAAACAAAAAACACAATTATAAAATAATATAAAACTTAATAGTCTTAAATAAAATAAAAGCACATATAAAATCAAGTTAAAAGTAAAATATAATAATGTAATATAAAACAGAAAAAAGATAATATTAAAAAAAAGTAAAATTAAATGGAATGAACGGCAATAAAAAAATTAAAAAAAAAACAAATAAAACAAAATACATAAATTAAATAGACTAACCTAAAATAAAATGAAATTGAATTAAAAAAATATATATAATAAATATAGCTGTGATCGTTAGCCATGACAAGTAAAATGAATAAAGAAAACAGTAAT